TGTAAATATTTAGTGGAAGACAGTTCCAAAGCCGAACAGCTTCCACAGAAAAGGTCTTGTAGTAGAAGGATGTACTATGGGAAGGATTTCTGAGGATTTAATGGTCAACGGAGCGGAGAGATCGATCTGAGTGAGAGTCACAGAGATACTCAAACCGTTTCGTAAGATAAGGAGGGGTAGTTGGATTGAATAAAACAGAATATAAGAGTGATAGAAGGTGAGTATTCCTGCGAAGGCGGATTGGAAATCTCTTGAGCTTATTTCGGAATTCAGAAACGTGGTCATATTTACGAAGTCCAAATATGAACCTAATGCAAAGATTTTGGGTGCGCTCAAGTTCATTAATTTGTTCCACGCTTAAGTCTAAGTAATCTGTATTAGCATAATCAAGAATTGGTAAGAGGAGAGATTCCGCGAGTGCAATTTTGGTAGGTATGGGTAAGAAGTTACTCAATCTACGAAGAGAGTTAACAGCTGCAAACATCTTTCTACTATACACTTCAGTAACCTGGGAAACCCAAGAGAGAAATTTATCGAATACAACACCTAAATTTTAAACGGTATCGCTATATTGCAATTGGACCCCGTCAAAAACTGTACAGGGAAGACTAGTCCAATCAATTCGTGAAACTAACCTTTGGCTGCCAATAACAATAGCTTGTGTTTTGGATGGATTTACCTTCAGTCCATAACAATTCCTCCATTCTACAATTGTATTTAGATCTTTATTGATTGCGTCTATTGTTATGGTTAATTAATGGTGTCTGGTAATTTGGATTGAGCGTAAATTTGGAGTTCATCAGCACACAGATGGTCGAGAGAAGTTAGAGGTTGAATGATTGAACTTATGAAGATTGAGAAAAGAAGAGGAGACAACACTCCACCTTGCGGTACACCGGCATTTATAAAACTCCAGGCCGAATACTTTTCCTCGATCTTAATCCGTTGCCGGCACCTGGGAAGTGCCACGTGATCACCAACAATTTTACGCGCTTGACAATTTTTCCCTTAAAAAAACCTTAGGCCTATTCTAAAAGCCCAAGACTACAGAGCTCTATCCTTTTTTTATAGTCTTTATTTTGTTTATTCTAGAGGAGAGTCTCTAGAATAAACAAAATGAAGAAATTATAAGTGCATAGAGTAACAGCCTATGAATGTCCCACTGCTAGTCAAAGTCTTCCTCTATATAAGGTGTTACGGATTGGGGGACTTCACATAATTTCAAAATATTTATTCTGTTATTATTTCGAAAGTATGCAGGTTTCTTCACGATGTTTTCCTTCACCGCCGAGCACGTGATAAGTCAGCAATTAAAATTAACAGTTTCATTGGCCCTCACACCGGGGATCAAACTCAGCTTGCTCGAGTAAATTTAATTAAAGGCGAGCGCCCGGACACTGAGCTATCACGACTCTGTGTGAAGAAATTATGCACTCATAAATCTGGTATGAGTGCATAATAATTTCTATGTATTATTACAAATTTTATATTTTCTAAACTACCGAATTTTAGCATAGTTTTTGTTTGTTTGTTTACACACTATCTATACAGATAAATAAAATTGGAGTGTCTGTTTGTAAAATGCAACTAACCGCTGTTTACTAAATGAATATGGATGTATACACGGTACATATACCAAATTAACATTTCTTACAATTTTTGTCTGTCTGTACAATACAATGTAATACACTGTGATACTCAAAGTGTTAACTTTTGATTCAAAACACAGTGACAATTAAAGGAACGGTAAATTGTACTTCAAAAAGAGTAACTTGGCAGCTGTATCCCCCAAAAGTCATAAAAAATAAATATATTTTCGTATACATTTTTTACGTTCTCTAGTCCCAAAACAAGCAACGCTTGTACTATGGGTACTAGAAAACTGATAAACATACTTAAACATACTTTTATTTTCTAAATAAATACATATTATACATTTATAGACACCCAGACACTGGAAAAACACTATGTTAATCACATAATATTTTTCAGTAGTGGGGTTCGAACCCACACCCTTTGGCGCAAGAGGCAGGTTCCCTACCTACTCCCCACGCCAATCAGGTCGTCAAGTCGTATGACTGAGACCTCCAAACGTTTTACTGTTAATCTGCCAATACTTTAGTGACATATACTGTATGAGAAAATGAGTTTTCGTATCTAATATTCACCATCATCATCATCACTATCCAACATGTTAGCCATAGACTCTTCTAGACTCTGGCAAAAATCATTGGTTTGTCCTTAGTACTTTTTGTAGTTGCCGTGAGATTTACTTCATTTTCCAGTGGTAAGCAATTTTTTTTATTCCTTTGACCCGTAGGTGTAAAAATGTGGCAACTTGAAACAATTTTTTTATCAATTTCTGAAAAACTAAAATCTAATTTATCCTTCGAATCAGACTCAAAATCAAGGACGCTGGATACACTAATATTGAGATTTTCCTGGATATTAAGTTAAGATCCGTATCCGTATCCGCGACTTTTGACGCCAATGATCCGTATCCGCGGATCTCTCAATTTTAATGATCCGGCATATCACTAGTTTGTTCCTGCTTATCTCTGAAACGGCTGGACCGATTTTGACGGGATTTTCACTGGCAGATAGCTGATGTAAAAAGGAGTAACTTAGGCTAGTTTTAGTTCAGAAATTTATTTATTGTTGTTTATATATATAATATAATTTCACGCAGACGAAGTCGCGGGTTCAGCTAGTTGAAAATATAGGTCACGATTGGCGATATTCGCGCATCTGCAATACAGATATTGAAAATGTGCATACGCGGCGATTATGTCTAAACATAAAGAGAATCGCGTCCTCGCTTGCCATATTCTTACATAAAAAAATTAAATTTAAAATTGTAAAAAAAAAGTTTTGCGCGCAGATTAAACAAAAATTTACGAAAATCCAAAATTGGCTTAAAATTTTTATGTAAAACAATACAAGAAGTTATAAATGTGTAGAATTTATTTTCTAGCGTTTTTAGCGTTCTAAGAATTATTGCGAATTATTGCGTACACAAAGGGTAAAACGGTACCTTTTACTAAGTATATCTATAGTCTATCTCTCTGTCCATCTGTCACCAGGCTATATCTCAGTAACCGTCATAGTTAATTGAAATTTTTATAGGTATATGATGTATTTCTATTGCCGCTATAACAACAAATACTAAAAAACAGAATAAAAAAATATTTAAGTGGGGTTCCAATGATAACAGAAATGATTGTTTTGCGGTTTTTCTAGATAAGGGTACGGAACCCTTAGTGCGCGAGTCTGACTTACACTTGGCCGGTTTTTTTTATACTATAATATAAATAAATATAGTAAATTGAACATTTGACATAATGGATGAAGAATACTTGGATATTGCATAAGGCGTTTTAAATAGATCGTCTAGAAAATCAACAAACGAGATTAAACATGATAATATAAATATAAAAGATTGTGTATAGGTATACAAAACAAAGCAAAAGGGCAATACCAATGATAATGACACGCCGATTAGGCTAAGGATTGGTTGGATGCGTTCGCCGATATAACAGACGATAAGGATATAAAAGCGGTGCTTTTGTTCTACTCATCTTGTTATTGTTTGAGTTATCGATGATATCCTTGCCGAATATTATAGCTAAACAATGGAAGTAAGGCATCTCGACTTAGTCCCACGTCAAATATTTATCTAAGCCACTGTGATGATATGTAATAAGAGAGAGTACATGAAATCCCTATTCTCTACAGAGATTAGAGAATTGAAATATTACATAGGTTTTTAACAAAAGAACGGCAATTTTTTATTTAGCTTTACTGGTTATGTTCATATGTAATTTGGCATTGTTATATTCATAACTTTTGATATTATAAAACGTAATGTTGTCTACTAATGCACCTCATAAATAAAAAAATAAATGTTTTGCTTTTGCTTTTGTCAATTACATGAAAATTACTTATCGCCAAATGCCGATTACTTTATAAGGTATCATTCAATAAGGGTTGTTTCAGTGCTGAACTATGAAAAGCAAACATTTAAGGGGATACTGGCTTTTGCCTGCGGCTCTGCTTGTAATTTTTTAAGTTAATAAAAATAATGTGTGCATCATATCTCTCTTTTCTTTCCTTCGGCCGTTGAATACAATATTTCGAATTTTGTCGTACGTAAAATTTATCCACGCCCATCTAGTGTGAACGATATGCAATTACAAATTTTCCAAACTCTTTAAATAGTCGCTTCAGTAAAGAAGTTAAGGAGTGGGGAATATTTTTTGTAATCAAGATAAAATCTAATTGATTAGATGCCGACTACCGGACCGGACACAAAAACAACTTGTTAATGCATTATCGTTGATAAAAATTTTAAAATCACAATCGCAGATTATCTATGAATCTTAATTGCTGTGCGTCATATAATTTTAATTTTCTTGGAATTGTTTTCGTAAAAAAATTACGAAACAGATTGCATGTGCACGTTTTGCATTGTAAATCCTTACTATCCGTATCCTTAGTCCTTATGCTTACTAATATTATATACGCGAAAGTTTGTATGTCAGAATTTTTTCCTACTTTCTTGACGAAGTGTCAAGAAAGTAGGAAAAAATTCTGCCATCTGCAACTATTCTGCTGTACGCTGCAAAAACCGTTAGAAACACACGTTTTAATGTACTTGAAGTACTAATCTGTATCAATGAAATGAAGTCGCGAGCACCAGCTAGTCTTCAATGTTTCTAAAAAGATACAAAATTGTTTATTGTAATTTAACAACGATGAATTTTAGTATAACTTTTTATGGAATTACATTTACTTGACCGCGTGCTTTTTAGTTTAAAAAATAAGCAATAAGTTTAAAACGTTCTTCGTATGATTTAATTCAAGGTGTAATTGATAATTAACTAATCTTTAATCTGGTTTAGAATATTAAATTTCAAAATACAGCAATGAAGTAATATATTTAAATGTTTGCATTCAGGGCAGCCAGTTTCCGAAGATAGCGATATCCCTAGAAAGAAAACATGGAACCAAATATGGATAAAACTGCATATTGGCAAGAACGAGGTAAGATTATGAAAAACAGTTACTTTGGTTTAAAAAAATATATCATGTTTTTAGCAGATATAATAAAGAGATGTACTTGAGCGAGTAGTGAGAATTCGTAACTGTCACCACATCATTATTTTCTGTTTGTTTGTTAAGTCACACGGGTTTGTAACAAATTAGTAATTTTAGGGAACAAATCACTCAGTGGCGCTGTTCCTAAGCTATTAAAAGCTGTGACGCTATGGTCGTGGGTTAGTTTTCCCACACGGGACTTTAATTTTTGTGACCCACAAAAAATTGAGAAGGGGGAAGGAAGGGTGTGATTTCGGGCAGGCTGTCGTAAAACACCTAGCCGATAGAATTAATATGATTAACATGTTAATTTGTTAATGGTGCCTGCCCGTATCACACATCACTTAGGAGGGATAAGGGCAGAAGAAAGAACAAGAGTAATTTTAGGTTAAAAAAATATTTTTTATATCAAGGACTCAACTTTTCGCTTACAGAGTTCTTCGATTCAACGGACGACCCAAGCATTTCAATATCGACAATGGCCGACGAACTCCCCACGCTGACGGTGACAACTATTTTAGGCGTGACGGTGGTCATCATCATCGCTATTGCCGTTGTCTTCGTCTTGGGAGTGCTCATTGACTGCCGTCAACAGTAAGCTACATTTACACTGACCAGTTGTCGATTCCGAGAATCCAGAATTCATTTAATTAATGTAAGACATGGATGATGAAAGGGGGAAATAAGCAATGAGCTGTTGGCATCAAAAGTAATAGGTTGTAAATTCATCCTTGCAGCTGCCTAGTAGTTGCTATTGCGTAAATTGCATACCGTAACATAACTTCTGGCTCTTTTCTGATTGGAAAGAAATATTTTACTGCTGCGTGTAATACATAATATAATTTCTACATAATGTTCACAGAGAGTGAGAATAAAATAGATAATAAGTGAGAGATAAAAACCAGAATGAAAATACCTTGAGTAATAAGCAGGCTACTTTCTGCGGCTGTATTGTCGTAAAAGACCTGTCAACTGATGTAATAATAAAAATTGTTAAAACCAGTTTCAATTTCTCATAAAAAAATCACGTTTATATCCGTTATAGGAGAATATTGGACAAAAAGATCGTCGAGGTAAGAAGAAGGAAGAATCTTCGTCGAGTAAAGTCGCATCAACATAGCGACGTGATTAGCATCGTAAATGGCATGGAAGATCCTGGGTTGAGTGTGCCACCAGCGGAGGTCCTTCGAAACATACCGTAGTAATGGATAGTTGATACACTCAGTTCTTGCAAAATTAAAACATTGTAGCAGTTAGCCTTCGTATGGTGATGTAAACTTTGAAAATTGTATTTATATGTAATATGTATGTAGGTATGTACACATGTAAAATATGTATGAATGAATATAGAAATGTTACCGTTAACACTGTTTTTGATTGATTATAAATATATAATATTTTCATTGGAACGCTTTGTCAATAATACCTAACAATATAAAAGGATTATATTTATGAGAGTGCAATAGTAGTATAAAGACGTATCTGAAACGATAGCTTAAGTAGATTTTCATCAAATAAAACGATTCGAGTACTTATCTAGATAATTTGCAGAAAGTGCCTTTGTAGATTTTAGAGACATTACAGTGAACAGACTAGGTATATTGATTTGTATAATTTTATAGTTTTTATTGAAAAATCTATTTCTCATGGAAAAGAGAGTTCACATTAAATATTTAATTAAGAATTACTACAACACGCTTTTTATGGATGGATATGTATAATGATTGAAGAAAACTATGCTATAATGTTTGATTACATAAGTTATAGTTTTAATAACACTTGTTTTACTTATATGAACTAGTCACCCTTTTTAGACTTTGTAGAATTAAAAAGCTTTTAGCAAAACCCCTCATTCAATTGATATAGTTAAAAATGGTTCCATAGTAATAAAAAACTATTACAAATGTAATCTCTTTTAAAAACAAATTCCAAATTGCATAACATACCTAGTAAAAGTTTGCTATTTTGTTCCTGCTGACTGAGATCAAGTTTGCCACAAGTTGCTTATGACGTAAGAAGTTGTTGCCGAATCATTACGTAAAGAATTAGATTATTGCTACACTACTGCATAACTTGTATTGAATTAAAATGTTTAAGATTCGCAAATATTTAACCAAAATTGGAATTTAAAGGTAATCTTTGGTTGGCAGTTAAAATGTATATGATTTGTTTTGCTTTTTCGGGATACCAAATTTGTACAAATTTATAATAAAGGCGTAAAAAAATTATGCATAAAGATTTGAAAAAGACACGGTGACAATAGTAAAATAGTTTTACGGATTTTGTCGCGTTTAAATTTTGATTTTTAATTCCCGACGTTTCGAACACTTTCCATGGCACGTCTTGATGTCAAAGTTATCCCGGGCTACCGTCTATTACATATTTTGTTAATTATTTTTATTCCGTTCTACGCAAAAGGAGCTTATGGTACCTTGAGGTCTAGCATTGTTGGTGTGCTTGGATTTAATTTTATAAATTATGGGATCCCAAGCAAATGATAAACCCCAACCATCTTTTCTATTGAAATTAGGATGTTTCTTTATGTCAATAGCCTCGCGGATCATCCTTGAAGGAATTGGTGTTCTTTTGCGAGAATTTTTGGTTTATCAAATCTAATGTAGTGGTGATAATCTAAAACGTAGGTATATCATTATTGTTAGAAAATGAAATATCCAAACAAAAATGTTTCTAAATTGGGGATAAAAAAGTTATCTAAAACAAATGAGTTTGATGAACATGCTATGATTGTTGTCACTTCTATTGATGTTATTTCTTTTTAAATTATGTTAGACAAAATAATCGTATTTTTCAATTTTCTTTTATTATAATACTTTTATCCAGTGGTTATGAAGAAAATAAAGAGCCCAAAGAGAATGCGATGGCGATAAATGTCTAATATACTTACTAGTATTTGCACTAAGCATGTAAATTCTTGTAACTTATGAATATGATTCACGTATGTTGTATCGTATCCACGTAAGTATGTTAAAATACCCTAATTATTATCTGAAGTAAGCAGATACAAAAATGGCGTGACATAAATTGTTGGCAAATATAAGTACGTGACATATCATGAAAATCAAATGTAATCTTTTAAGCCACTAATAAACGTGCTTCATTAGTAATTTTGCGTTGATTTTGGTCCGAATGTAAATTAAATCAGTCATGAAATCGGTCCCCACCGCATATATTAAAAATATTTGGTTTTACTATTAATTGCAAAGTATTAAATAATGCCGCATTACACTGTGGCTGGTGAGGGCTTTATTCTCTTTTGTTGCTTATCTAAAATCGCATAATACAATCAGTTTGTAGAATACCGCCGCAATCAACAGCTCAATCATATTGATATTAATCAAAATCGGTGGCATTCCTTTCGGTAAAGGCTTCAAATAGGTTCTAGATATATAAAATACTTTTTTAATTTTCTAACATGCTACTAATTTTCTCTGATTAAAAGCTAAAAGACTCCACTCGACAATCCGTTTACCAATTGAAGTCCATTACTATATATATATTAATGTTTCTTTTGTAAACCTTATTAAAAAAAATAAGAATCAAGTTTCTTTTTTTCCAAATTTCTTTTTTCCAAACTATTCCTTTTTATTCACTCTGTTCCGTTTCTTCGAAGTAGCTCGCTAACTCTGATATGTTTTATGCCAAGAGCCTGCATCAGAGAATGGTTAATAGGTACGTACGACGATAGGCTTTCTGGCCGCGATGGATACACGAGCTTATACTCGCTTCCGACTACCCCAGGATGATGCCGTGCCCCTGGATACTAGGGTGGAAGATGGAGTGCACGTGGGCTGGAGGTTTGACGTGAAGGTCTGGAATAGCCTTGAAAGTGTCGCGCTCCTGCCGAGCTTTGAAGCTTGGCTAAGTGCGAGGATAGTTGCGTCAATTTTAGTTGACTGTTACTCACCAGGTACGGTTGCTTTGCTGAGTACTCGAATAGTATGGGAGACGCTGCAGAAATTAACTAAACGATGGCAACAACCAACACATCTGCAAACATCTGCAAACCTGCCGGTGCTGCAAATAGCAATGGGCAATGGTTATCGCTTAACATCAGGTGAACCGACGGCTAGAAATATATAAATTATAATAATCATTTATTCCTCACCAATTCCAAATGAGTATAAACTTAAGATAAACTAATTATTATTAATTACTATAAATCAATATAGAAGGCAATATTTGAATTAAGAAAACAACGTTAATCATAAAAAGAACAAAATGTAAAAAGATGTGTTTTCGATTCATATTTGGGTTTGGTAAATATGATCATGTTCCCGATTTTCGTATACTTACAGCTCAAGTGGATTGGTAAACTGCCTTCGCGGAAATACCCTTAATCTCTTTGCTTTGTACAGCGTGTTGTTTAATCCCTCCACTCCTAAATACTTAAGAGACCGCTTCGAGTATCTTTCCGTCTCCCATGAAAGGTTTGGCCCTTTCTTTCTTCTAAAAGATTCTTTCGTTCTTCTATCAATCTCTCCCTCTAAACTCACTTTTACAGTGACAGCTGGGCGTTTGTGGAATTCTATGCCCATTCTACAAGTCTCTTCACTAGTAGAAGCTCATTACTTCGTACTATGAATTCATGTATTCCTTTTTTTCCTATTTTTCTCGAAACTTTAGCCTCTTCTTTATGTCTCTCTAGCAAAAATTCTTTTCGCAATGGTTTTCTTGAAGAAATCGCTTTCAGAGCGATAAGACCGCCTATTTTATACTTTCTATTACATTCATTTGTAATTTGCACTTTTTATCTTTTGGTGTACAATAAAGTATAAATAAATAAATAAGTAAACCAATAAATGATAATCTTTAGCATACTGCGATGACAAAATATACATTAAATTTTCTTTGGAACAAAATAATTATTTCTGAACGAGATGATTATACTATATTTATTCGAGTAGGGTTAAGTTTAATAAGATTAAAATAATTTTTGCAAAACGCAAAATAACTTTCAAAAATAATCTGAGAAAAAAACCGTTAACCTAGAAATAAAAAATCGCCCAAGTGGGAGTCAGACTCGCGCACGAAGGGTTCCGTATTCTCGTAATAACGGCAAAAAGTCATGTTTGTTGTATTGTATGTAGGGTTGCCAACTGTTTTTGAGAAAAATAAAGTATTTGTCAAAATTTTATTTATTCCTCCTCTTGAAGATATATTTTTGTATGCTTCTAGCATACACTTACATTTTTCGCTATACCAAGGCCCTTGGAAGATATCTTTCAAGATTTCAAATTTAAATTTAAAGAAAAAAGTATATTTATATTAAAATGAAAATCTGAGAAATACGCTGTAGCACACACACTGATCCACAAAGATGCTCGGCTTAAACGAAATTGTTAAAGACAAATGGACGAATTATCATATAAGAAAAAAAGATAAAATTTTCTTGGGACAAAAATGTTTTTGTTAAATCATATAATACTTATTATTAACAGCAAAAGCTTCTTAGTTGAAAGTGTTCTATTTCAATTTAGTACTAACGATGAAAGTTCAGTAATTATCCTTATACAGTAAAGTTTGAAAATAGAGTATTTTCATATACTTTATTTTTATGCAAAAGTATAAAATCGAAAATAAGTCTATTTGAGGCAATGCAATTTTATTCTAGTGACAAGAAGGAATGTTAAGAATTGTAATAACAATCAATTTAACAAAAATTATGATTTTCTGATTTCAAAACATAATTTCATGTTTAATGGCTGTGACACCAACTTGTTTTCGTTCACTATTGGACCATACAGTAATTGCTAAATGCTATAAATATGTAATTACCTGGTTACGTCAAGACGTAACAACTGGATACAAATATATGGAATGTTGTCTTAGGCGAATGCATTTTTCGAACTTCATGTAGGTGCAGTGGATGTACTTTTCAAACTCAGACATTCTTGATCGCTCACATTCGCGCCATTGACGTATTTCAAACGCTGCAGCTTTTATCAATTCGTTGCAATGATAATTGAAACATTAATCAATACCACGACCACGATAAGGGTAATCACTATGAATTGTGTATGAACAATCATTTTTCCAGTTCTAGTTGCGATCTCGGCTCGACTACACGTGTTTTAATTTAAAGTAAATAAGTCTACGGTTGACGTAAATAAAGTTTTGTTTGTTTGTTACACATGTAATGTTTGTTAAAGTGGTTAAAAAATTTAAAATGAACTGAAATATTATACAAGTTTATTTAACAATAAAAAGTGCAATGGGAAACACTAAATCGAAGAAAGTTCAAAGGGAACCTGACAAGTTTTTTGAAAGGGAAAGATGGAAGGAGCAGAAGAGAGAGGAGAAGAAGAAGAAATATGTCAATCCAGCAAATAAAAGGGTGGGTGTCAAGGAACCACCCTTGACTCCGACGTCGGCTTTGACGCCACCACCTCCGGTTATTAAACCAGCACCAGCCAATGTCCGGTCCTATGACGATGAAGTGCTAGACCGCATGAGATATCAGCTTAACAATGATTCGGATGCTTTTTTATTGAATAACATACTTCTTTCCGTTCAGTTTTTTGAGGATTATGAAAGGTAAAGAACTTTTAAATAGGCTTTGGTTCAATTATGACTTAGTTCAAAAAACGGAGTATCACATATTTTTACACAAACCCTGGACTTTGCTCATTATTTTACATAATCATAGTTTTCAATGCCGCATTCCTTGAAGAGTAGTTCATTTACTTTCGATTGGTTACTCGGAATAGCGTTATCAAATTTTATTTCTTAATTTTAATCAGTTGATATTTAACAATTTTATTTGATATCGTTAAGCACATAAGCTCGATATTTGTGTCAAGTTTGTGAATGAGGCGTAATTCTTTAGAATGCTTATAAGATTAAATAAGATTATTGAAATCACTGCAAGGTGGATTTAGGTGGATTTTATTTTGTTTGCAATTTTAAGGTGTTATCGATTAACGATAACTAAACATAACTAAATGTACTTAGTTATGTTTAGTTATCAAAGTTTTTATTTGTGTTTAAAAAATGTCCGTCTATTTGTTTTACCTGAATGCGTTCCGTCCCTCGTACACAAAATTCATCATTTTCTTCGTTCTTTATAAAATTCATTTGAATAAAATAAAGTAATCGCCATGTATTTTGTATAGCTCAGCGTTAACATTTTGTTATGGTAACTATGATATAAAATATACGGGACTTAAGTCCTAGTTCATTTATTTTGAATGTTCGTGCTTGTCAAAATAAATTTTATGTCTATGTCTATGCCCAGTGAACTACCATATTTGTAATTGAAAAATCACTGACTCATGGATGCCATACTGTTTTTTATGACTCGTATATATTTTGTACCTAATTTTCATAATGGTTAATACGTACTCATTGTTGTCATTTAACTTTAGCATACCAATTAAATATTAAGAATTTCATATATTAAAAACTTGTTTTCTATAGAAAATTTCGACAAATAAATTGACAATTAACAGATACGATAAAGGATTAAGACATTATCGATGATAAAGTTTCAAGAACCTGTTCATTTAGATATTGTTATCAACTGTTGAGCATACTTAGCTCGCAAAGTTGTAATTTTAATTAAACAAATCACATATATAGTTATTCTTCTGCATACTTCATAACGTGATTTTTGTATGACGCAATGCTTTTTAATACCTACTAATGCTGATGATTTGTACTATTAAATATATGCAAAGAATTATATCTTTTAAATTACGATTTTAGAAGCTTCTAGATACTTCCTTTATAAAGTATATCAGGCTAATTTGTTTTCATTTCTCTCATTCTGTTTGCTAGTGAAAATGTTTGTGGTATAAACGTTATATTTTGCTCATCCTAAACTGTTGTTCTTGTTTTAGAGAAATACATAATATCAAAAACAACCCAATTAATGAGCGAGAACATACAATGGACGAAGAAATGGTACGACGGCATAAGCATGTGTTTTTCGCTGACCGTCTTCAAGAATGTGTCCAAGAACATATTTCATATCAAAGACGACGAGATCATACAGAGCCTCTGATTGCTCCACGGCTTTTTATTATTTATGATAACGTTGAGGCCAGTGAACCAGGAGACACATCAGACTACTGTGCCGTTCTAGATGCTCCATTTTATAAACTTCGCATAGAAGATTGTAAGGAGTCAGGTAAGGCAACTACAAGTATGATAGATAGTAATGCCTAAACTATCTCTAAAAATTGTTATTTTTAAAATAACGCATTTCTTTTTAAATTTCAGGGTTCGTTAAATTAAAGAAATTAGAAGTTTTAGAAAGCAGTTTATCGAAAGAGAATGAAACTATGCATAAACATCAGATTCATTCAGATGACAGCATCTATACAGATTCTGAAAAAGAGTCAAATGATTCTGATGACTACGTAAGTAAGGGGGAAATATTATTACAGAATATAAAATCCAAGTTATCCGAAGGTCAAGAGATGAATTTTCACATAAATACCGAAAATTTAAATCTACATTGTAATGCACAAGAAATTACGGGAAGAAGACCCAGTGGCCCAACAAAACAAGTCAGCTCGATAACAGAAAAAAACAGTATATCAAATTTAGATGTACTCCGAAAGAAAACTTCAACATTATTGGAGGACACTATTACCGCTGAAAACGATGAAATTAAAACTATCGGAGACGTTGAAAACAGACCCAGAAAATCAATCTTGAAAAATGCTAGAAGAGCGAGTGAAACAAATAAAGATCTCAAAAACAAAACGCGCTTTGGTGATAATCGAGCTGTTTCGGCGGACAATGTTGGGGCGGATGATACTGAAACTTCAGGTTATAGGTCAAATTCAAGTAGCCGTCATAATGAATCAAGTGAAACAGATTCCGATTACGGTTATTCAACTATAACAGAATCTACGACACCTAAGCGAGTGGAACTTAGCCTGCAACCAAATTGTTCAACTACATCGGGGGTTTTGCCCGAGGAATGCTGGATTTCAGTAGATATGCGTGCTATGGATTGGAGTGATGATGATGATGAAACTTCCACAAAGTCATCAAGATTGTCTATATCGAGAAATCTTTTTGAAACTCATCATTACTTAAGCTCTGTGAACTTTATGAGTAACTTCGTAGATAATTTTATAATCAGCTTGGGTTCAGGACTCGGTTTTTCGCAGGAAGCAATTAACGGTGCCCTTACCCAAGGAGCAAGTATTTATTGCGATACGATCAAACATGGGTCCAAATATAGTTATGAAGTTTTTCCAGCTTTATTAGCGGCGTGGCCTAATGCGGCCAATCAATGGATAATACGAGAAAGGAAAATAATTCAAAACCCCAGAACTAATTTTAGCTACCAATGGCCAACAAAGAACATGGTTCGAAAAGCAATTGGTTTTGGGTGTCTACTTGTACCAATTGGTTTCAGGCCTAAAAGGGGGGTTAATCCGGACCAAAAGCTACAATGGAAGATTATATTTCCAGCGGCAGAACGGTATTTAGAAAGTTGCTTGGCACATTCTCATATGCGATGTTATTTGTTCGCCTTGACTTTACATAAAACTTTTATGGAAAATGAAACTTCTAAAATAGGAATTGATGCTAGTCACATAAAAAATCATTTATTTTGGCAATGTGAAGACAATTACGCCAAATGGCCAGAAGATCGTCTAGGAGAATCATTGAGGTTGTTTTTGCGAAGTTTTTATGTTCACTTTGGACAGTCAAGATTTCCAAATTATTTCATAGAAAATTGTAATGACTTCAAGAGTATTCCCAAACCATTATTACTAAAGTTACAAAGAAAATTGGCAGATATATTGGAATCTCCCGTTATGCATGTACTTTATGCTCTTGATAAGATTAAATATAACAAAAAAGAATTTTATCCAACATTCAATGTACGCAGACTATATGAAATACTAACGTGTAGAAACCCCTTGCACATTTTAAATCCAAACATACCTGAAACAATTCCTCATTACAAAGATAGTTCGGACAGTGACAGTGACGACAACATCAATTTCTGGGATAAGGCTAAAGCTCATGACAAACACTATCAATGGAAAAAGGAACGACAACGTCAGCTGAAGGAAAGGCGGAGAGCAAATACAAATAACAAGAAAAGAGGCGGAGTCAAAGAAGAGAAAGAAATGAATAAAAACGTAAGAAGTTTGTTTTTTTGTCTTTTTTATAGTAAAGTTGCTTTGGGAGCGTGTTTTTATTAACAACTTTAATAAGTTTTAAGCAGCATTGACGTAATAACTGATTTTAACAATCATGAAGTACAATTTTTTTTATGTTATGGCAACAAATTTATTCTGTTCTGTATCTGTTTCACAACTGTTTTCTGTAGGATATGTTTAAACAGTATTCTGCATTTATTACAGATAATACTTCCGGCTAAAATGCAAGCGGAACGTAGACGTTTGGTGTTGGAATTCTTCATTCCTCATTTCATTGCAATGGCACGTTCGAGTGAAAAATTTGATGTCATAAAACAAGCCGTTATTTATTTGGAGCAAGCGCACAGACTTTGTCGCCTTTTAATGGATGAGCCTGCTGGCGATGTAACGGCAAATGAATATTTAGACGTTATTCGTGATAAACTAACAGATTGTCAGAGAAAACTGGCAAAACAGGTTGTTTACAAATTGCCACCGCGTATGGACAGCTATTCTGACCGCTCTGGTAATTCCAATTTGATTCGGAAACATCGGCCTAGATATGAACATATAATTAATCAAGATTCACCTAATGACACCACTGGAATTGCGCCTTTCACTTTTGTCGATGTGCATGTTGAGGATTCGAGTAAAGAAATTAAAAGACTTACAGTCGCATTTGATCCAGAAGAATCTAAATTATGATTATAATTGTTAATCGTTTTTTAATCGTTTAAATCACTCTTAAAATATTTAAAAACTATCATTACTGCTAAACTGTTCTATGTAAATATACTTTCTTAGTTTGTAATAAGAATATGTTTAATAATGCATAAAAACTGCTGCATTATTTTAAGTGAAAAATGATGAGTACGATAGATATTGTGAATCACATTATGGCTGAGGCAACTTTTGAAGAATCTCTTTTTTACCGAGTTATTTGTTTGTTTAACATGATAAGAATATTTTTAGATTAGGGGTCATGGTCATGCTCAAATCAAATGGTGAAAAACATCATCTTAAATTTTATTTTGTTCTTCCTTATCATTATAATAATGTCTTTTTCCAAAAATAAAAAAGATTCTCTACCTTGATGTAGTAAATGAAATATAAGTTCAATTAGTGAATTAGTATATTATCTCCAATGCATGTTTTTGTTGTTTGATTAAATAAGTGGATTTACTCCGCCGACCATTGCCAGAAGTGCCATTCGCACATACATGCCATATTCAGCTTGGCGGAAGTAAGCAGCACGTGGATCAGAATCGAATTCTGGAGATATTTCATCAACTCTAGGTAAAGGATGCATCACAATCATGCGACGTCGTGCGCGGGTCATAAGTTGTGGTGTCACCACTAGCAATCCACGCATCTGAAACCGATAAAAATTTTAAATCCAAACTGAATTGAACTTTAATTTTTAAAAAAACAAATAGCATATTAGGATAAAATCTTTGTGCATGTTAATCTGCTAATATTTATTATGTTGATTAATGGGATTGCGATTGTAATGATAACTTACCATTAACTTTTATTTGATGAAAATATTGATATTAAAACTATTATAAATTATGTATATTTGCTGAATATTGAGGATTTCCAAAGAATTAATAAATGCCTAAATTATTAAATTTATAGTTGCATTATTTACCTTTTCATATTCCTCTTGACTATCAAATCTTTCACACTGGATTCTAGTCATGTATAAAACATGAGTATCACCCAAAACATCCTCCAATCTTTCAAATACTTTTTGTGGTACACCTTTATATGATACATACTCCATAATATGTTTAGGCATTCCAAGCCCAGGCGGACTAACATATTGTAACTGAACTTGGTACAAAGTGAGTAATCGTGCTAACGAATGTACCGTGCGCCCATTCTTAAGGTCACCAACCATCGTTATTGTAAGACCATTAACAGTACCGATTTCCTCTCTTATCGTAAAAACATCTAGTAAGGCTTGTGTTGGGTGCTCCCCAACTCCATCTCCGGCATTAATGATTGGTTTTCGACAGTGACGTGATGCTCGCTGTAATAATGCAAATGATAAAGAGTTATTAATCTCACAGTAGTTGTAGCACCTTAGTATTGATATGATTAAGATCAGAAGTTTGAAAGTAGATTCCTATTCTAGATAAAACTGTTAGAATTTTTTCCCAATGTTCACAAAGCTCTGACTACTCGTATTATTTTGCTATTAATTTAACTAATCTTGTATTCACGGGCAAACTTACTGAAACTGCTCCGGGCTCTGGATGCCTTAAAACAACTATATCAGAGTAACTGGCCATAATAGCAACACTATCTTCTAAAGTTTCTCCTTTTTTGGCCGATGAACTCGTTGCGTCCGTGTGAATTACAGAGCCTCCTAATCTCTGCATTGCAGCAGCAAAACTACAACTAGTACGAGTGCTTACTTCGTAAAATATAGAGGACATAATTTTCCCACGCAATATGTCGTCTAAATAACGTCCTTTACTAACGCTGGTTTTCATAAATTGAGCAAGATTGAAAATATCGTTGAGTGTATCTTTATTAAAAGAGTCCACTGTTAAAATGCTTTTCCCAAACAAATCACTTTTTTGCCGATGTGATACAGACGTCTGAGGAGGATTGTAATATGATGAACTATCACACCTTTGCCTCATTGATGTTTGAGGCGGAAGTGGTGACATACTTCTTGTGGCAGGTGGTTCAAAGTGGACGTTTAATTTACCCTGCCCGTCAGGTTTACTTAATTCTATTTGTTCTATATCTATATCACCTAATCGACCCATCTCAATTGAATTATGTTGATCAAGAGCAGAGTTTGGCCGACTTATTTCCTTTTCAACTTTTTTTTCGATAGCATACGTGAGGAATGTTTGTTTCTTAGGCGTAGGCCAATCACGTACATTTTGGCCGAAACCTGGAGGAACAAGAATTTGACCTTCTACGTAGGCTATCTCCCCTCGCAATGTTACGCGATGAATTGAACCACAAACGTTCATTCCTGCAAATGGAGTCCACTTTGATTTCGAGAATTCCATTGCATTAGGAATAGTCCATTCGTAGTCCATATCGACCTCTACATATGTATTTGGTTGTTCGGGTAAGTTAAATATTTTGCGGGGATTTCGGTGAAATTTGTTTATGATGTCTTCAATTGTAAGTCGTCCTTGATGTACGGCATTCAGTAGCAGAGGCAAAATCGTTTCTAAGCCCGGAAAACCTGGCGGTGGTTTTTCTGAATTCTTTTCTTCTACTGTGTGTGGCGCATGATCAGTTGCGAATACATCAATGATATCCATATTTCGCCATAGTTCAGCTTGATCTTCTGGGCTGCACAAAACAGGGCGCACTTCAGCACGGCCTATGCCAATGTGATCAATATTGTCCGTACTTAAGAACAAATGATGAGGGCAAACTTCGCAAGTCACTTTCAGGCCTCTTTCTTTTGCTGCTCTAATTAATAAAATTTCCTCTTTTCTGGCAACGTGACATATGTGAACAGGTCGATCGAGCAACGATGCCATCAAAATCACAGCCCCTGTTTTCTCACGTTCCGCATGAACACAAATCGGTGTTTTTTTTGGCCAATTTTGTAGATGACGCTGCCATACAGTCATGTCGTCCAGTTTAAGAGTGGTAAATGTTTCGTTGAGGTACATCTTCAAAGTTGCAGCTTGAGGTGCAAGTTCAAAAGCCGTATCGCAGTTACCAGTCGATGCACCTATGAAGAGGGCGTAATCACAGCGAGCACTTACTCGCGCTAGAGCGGACACATAATCATATGCCGTGCGGTCGATTAAAGGTGGATTAGTGTTAGGCATGGCACATATCATAGTGATACCACCCGCAAGCGCAGCAGCTGTACAGGACGCGAAATCTTCTTTATATGCAGCTCCAGGTTCACGGGCATGAACATGAACGTCTATAAATCCAGGCAGCTTAATAATGTTACGTGAAGTCATGCAGTCCGTATGAGTCTTCATTAGAGGTGCACCACCGCATTGTAACATAGCCTGAAATAATTTATATTTAGTTGTGTTAACTGTTTTAAAAAGTACTTAAAGCTGACTGTTCCACTTACGAACGGGTTGACGATAAGGTAAAACTTTCTTTTGGTATATCAATATGAAGTACATCAAAGATGTCCACTTTTTAGTTGTACATTTCGATTCTTATTTCAGACATTAAAAAAAAACACTTTGAAAAACATTTTAATACAATATATTTGATACCCGTGAAAAATGTAGATTTACATTCGTGAAAAAGTAATAACTATTTCATGCATGTTTTTTTTTTGTCTTTTAAAAACATTGCCCTTACTTTAGGATAACATTATCCTGTGTTGTAAGGACATTTTACAAACATAAATTTCATGCGGACAAACACCCAGATGCGAAACAACTATCTGTGGACCACACAAATAGTTGTCCCGTGTGGGAATCGAACCCACGACCCCCGACGCCGAAGCCAATATCTTGGCAACTGCGCCACGGAGTAAATATAAAAACTTAGTGAGTATGTATGTTCAGAAATTATCCATTAAAACAAATAAAGAAAATAATATTTAAATTTTAACTTTAGTGTTAAAGTACCAAGTAGCACAAGTTATCTTAAGTTAGTTTTATACTATCATATTTTGTATCTTAATTGTGTGTCACAAAGTCATAAGAAGTTGTTGTTTCTTTGTTATCAATTAACCAACCTGAACAAGAAGTTTTGCGCATTTAACGTCTGTCACTAACGGCACTGCGTAGTCAACCGCTAGCCGCCGTGTACGGTATCCGTGTGTGCTAAAAGAAGACACCCGACGAGCTCCTCCTCTCATTGGCAGATTAATAACAAGATCTAATTGTCTTCTCGCCATAAAGTCTGCCAAATGCATCAATTCACCATCAGACCGGGCATCTTCCGGATCCCCAATGTGGTCAAACGTCCATTGAACACTTTCCACCTACAAATATTTATGAAAGAAATTTATTGGTTTCAAACACATTTTCTAGAAAACGAAAGAGATGTTCATCACAGCCTACCTCCACGCCATGTTCAGTATAGAAATCACCAGTTCCCATGCTTGCATATAATTTATAGCCCATTTTGTGCAAAATCCTAATGCTCGGAAGTAATTCCATCTTGTGCTAAAATTTAAAATAGTTTATGCATGAATATTAACTATTTTATTTCAGTCGTAAATAGAACTTAATTCAATACAAAATTAAGAATAAAAAAATCAACTTTTAATATTACCTTGAATGTTCCTACCGATAATAAAATAGCTTTTTTTGGAATTCTAAAACCGGTACTCATAAGTGATTTTAAATATGCTTCATATCGGTTTTCACCAAAACATGCTACTTCTCCCGTTGACGCCATCTCTACACCTAAAGTTACATCTGCACCGGACAATCTAGAAAATGAGAATTGTGGTACCTTGACACCTACTTTCCCACATCCAGTCATTACATTTTCGGGCTCCACAGGGATACCTAAAATTACTCTGGTTGCCATTGCAACGAAGTCATGATCTAAAGTTTTTGAAACGAATGGGAAAGACCTAGAAACTCTTACGTTACATTCGATTACTTTTAAATCATTATCCTTTGCAATAAGCTGCATATTGAACGGTCCAGTTACATCTAGTGTTTCTGCTATAATTCTTGCGATTTCTTTAATTTTGTCTAATGTTTCATTATTAATATCTTGTGGTGGGGTAACTAGAGTGGCATCACCAGAATGTACGCCAGCGTTCTCAACATGTTCTGAGACAGCCATACACAGAATAATTCCATCAGCTGCCACAACGTCAACGTCTATTTCTTTAGCATCCATAATAAATTTTGAAATTACCACCGGATGATCTTTACTCACTTTACTGGCCGACTTTAAATATATCTCCAAATCTTGATTCGAATGTGCTACGTTCATGGCAGCACCACTGAGAACGTATGATGGACGTACTAAACATGGAAATCCGACTTCTTCACAAAAAGTTTTTGCTGATTCAAGATCAGTAAGTTCCTTCCACCTCGGTTGCATAATTCCCTTACGGTCTAACATACGAGAAAATTTAAATCTATTCTCGGCGTTATCTATCATATCAGGTGAAGTGCCTAAAATAATGGCTTGCTGTCTGTGCAAATCCATTGCTATATTATTTGGCAATTGACCTCCCATGCATAATATAACACCATCAGGTTTTTCAATATTATAGATATCCATTACTACTTCAAAGGATATTTCTTCGAAGTATAATCTATCACTCATGTCGTAATCAGTGCTGACAGTTTCTGGGTTATAATTTATCATAATAGTTTTTTTACTTTGATTTTTTAGCTCTCTTAAACAACCGACAGCACACCAATCAAATTCAACTGAACTTCCAATTCTATAAACTCCTGATCCAAGTACCATAATATGTTCTCCCGGGAAATCTAAATCATGAGTACTGCCATTGTAAGTAAGGTACAAATAATTAGTAGAAGCCGGCCACTCAGCCGCGACTGTGTCTATTCTTTTGACAAAAGGCGTTATGTTGTATTCTTCTCTTAGCTTACGGACTGCTAACTCAGTACTTTTTACTGCCGCAGCAATTTGTTTGTCAGAAAACCCAATTTGCTTCGCTTTCTTTAATATATCAAAAGTAATTAAATTAGGAGGAGCAGCTTCAAGGTTTTTGTAATAATCAATAATATTTTTAAATTTCTCTAAAAACCAACGGTCAATATTAGTAAGCTCATAAAGTTTGTCTATTGTGTAACCTTCTTTAAGCGCTGCGGCTAAAACGAACATCCTTTTATCAGTAGGGTCTCTTAATTCGTTTTCATTTACCTTTTTAATATTTGGGTCAAATCCATTGACATTTTCGTCGACCATACGTAAAGCCTTTTGAAATGCCTCCTCAAAATTTCTTCCAATAGACATTACCTCACCAACACTTTTCATTGAACTTCCAATTTTAGTACTCACCCTGTTAAATTTAGCAAGATCCCATCTGGGTATTTTAACAACACAATAATCTAAACTAGGTTCAAAACAAGCTGTGGTCACACCTGTGACAGAGTTTTTGATTTCTGGGAGAGGAATACCAAGTGCGAGTTTTGCTGCAACGTATGCAAGTGGATATCCTGTCGCCTTACTTGCTAATGCTGAACTCCTTGATAACCGTGCATTGACTTCTATAATATAAAATTCTTCAGAATTCGGGTTAAGTGCATATTGTATGTTACATTCACCCACAATGCCAAAATGTCTAATTACTTTTAATGCTGTATTGCGTAACATATAATATTCTCGATTCGATAAGGTTTGACTTGGAGCTACTACGATAGACTCACCCGTGTGTATACCCAGAGGATCCACATTTTCCATATTACAAACAGTGATACAATTATCATAAGCATCTCTCACGACTTCGTACTCTACTTCTTTCCAGCCTTTTAATGATTTGTCTATAATTAATTGTTCGGAATGGGACAGGGCTTGGTGAGCTAAGGTTCTCAACTCATCTTCATTATTTGCAAATCCGGAACCCAATCCTCCTAGAGAAAATGCTGAACGAGCCATTACTGGGTAGCCAATTTGTAAACCTGCTGCGAGTGCTTCTTCAACCGAAGACACTGCTGCACTTGGGGCAACTTTTTCCCCAATCAAGTTAATTTTCTCAGCAAAAATCTTTCTATCTTCAGTGTTAACAATCGATTGAATTGGAGTTCCAAGTACTGTTACGTTATATTTTTCAAATACTTTGGATTTTTGAAGTTCCACTCCGCAATTCAATGCAGTTTGACCGCCAAAGGTAAGAAGGACACCTGTAGGTCGTTCAGCTTTTATTACTTGCTCAACGTATTCTGGAGTAATAGGTAAAAAATACACTTTATCGGCTAATCCTTTAGATGTTTGAACTGTGGCTATATTTGGATTTATTAAAACTGTTTGAATTTTTTCTTCTTGCATAGCTTTTACACCCTGTGACCCTGAATAATCAAATTCTCCTGCTTGCCCTATGGACAATCCTCCCGAACCTAGAATTAAAACTTTTTTTGGTCTTTCATGAAGGGTTGCAGTATGTTTCAATTTCTCTGTGATCATATTATCAATGCAGCAAACATTTTTGTTTTTATACCGTTTCACTCCTTCGATGAAAATGTCAAAAAGACATTCAAGATCTGTAGGCCCAGCTGTGTGTTCGGGATGAAACTGGACACTGAAGAATGGTGAAGATTTATGAATTATGCCCTCATTAGTCTTGTCATTTTCGTTAGTGAACAAAATTTTCCAATTATCTGGTAACGTATTAGCATCCACGGCAAATCCATGATTTTGTGAAGTCATGAAACATCTCTTAGTAGTACTATGTGTACAAGGTAAATTGTGACCACGGTTACCGTATCTGAAAAAAGAAAGTAGAAATGTTTTTGATTATGTTAAATACAAAAAAAAATTGGAACAAAATTTTCAATAAAATACGTTGGCACAGTAATAATGTAAACTTCATTAAACACATACATTTTAAATGTCTTCTCATTCACCAAACATACCTTGTTTTGTAAGTTTTACAACCAGCAGCAGTTGCTAGTAATTGATGACCGAGACAAATTCCAAATATTGGTTTTTCATTGTTTATATCTTCAATAACTTTCTTTAAATTGTTCACGAGTATTTTACACTTTTCGGGATCACCTGGGCCATTGCTAATAAACAATCCGTCAAAATCTCTTGGGTCTAAGTCATGGTCCCAAGGTACCAACATTACTTTTGCATTTCTTTTTATTAAACATCGTATTTGATTATATTTTAAGCCACAATCAACGGCCATTATTGTGATTTCACCATTTGGATTGAAGATTTTAAGTTCCTAAAGAACAAACAACATCAATTAAAACTTGCAGACCCGACAGACGTTGCCCTATAAACCCGATTGAAATTCGAAAACAACTTATAAATAAAAAAATAAAATTGTAGTGGACCGAATTGTGAATCTATACAATTCTCAAATCGATCTGGAGACACACTAAATTTCATTATACCGATTATAATATCCAACCGTTTAGGACGAGTTCAATGATACATACACACGTACAGAAGAATTATATATATATAAAGAGCGCTATCTTTACATCAGTATTTTTCATTACCTTTGTAGAAACTTCTGCTACCAAGTTCCTTTCGTTTGGGTCTGACAAAGGTGGTAGCGGTGAGAATGGTTGCACTCCTTGTATAATGCGTCCCAACATAATTCCTTCTCGTAAGCGATGAGTTAAGGCACGTGTGTCTACTCCACTAATTCCGGGCACTCCACGTGCCTTCAACCACGCACCTAAAGAGCGTTGAGCCCGCCAGTGGCATGCGTGACTACTCACTTCACCGACTATCAGGCCAGCCGCCCAAATACGTTCTGACTCAAACCATCTGTAAAATAGTGTCGGTTTTTTATATCTCTTTATTTTTTTATTACGTTTTATATTATAAGAGCGTTTTTTGGAACAGAGTTGGTAGATAATTCGATTCCTAATTGTACATTATTTTCATCGAAAAAATTAATTATGAACATCTTATTTCGAAATACGTTCGAAGGTGAGACCTTCTTTTTCTTTTGGAGACAAAATTGTTATTTTGATCTCGTTCAACCAGTATTTGGCCACATCCACCGCAGCAGAATTGGTTTCAAGCAGGTCTTGAAGTTGAAGTTGAGAAAAAACCAAAAGTATGTTCGTGCCTGACGAAAGTCCCCGAAAACACATTTTTTGTAATGATATGTTGAAACTATTTCTATATTATATTACATTTAGTTGGTTTTTAAAAATACAAAATGAGATACCTGGGTATGCCGTATTCATCTCGTTCCTGTTCATCAGGCACTCCATAATTACCGATCAAAGGATAAGTAAGCACAAGTAATTGGGCGTGGTAAGACGGATCTGTCAATGACTCTGGGTATCCTACCATACCAGTCTGAAATACTGTGAATAAATAAGCAGTAAAACTTAGTTTTCTTTCTTTTATTTATATGTACCGAATAAATTATAATTAGTTATTCATAAAACTGATTAGAAAATAAGCGGTATCGCGAATCTGTAGCAGGGGCAAAGGGTTAGTTTAATTATTTATATAATAATCTCTCTAAGAGTTTGGATTGGATTGCAAGTTGTCGAGTATAAAAATTACGCTTACTTATACTTGATTCTTAAGAAGTATAATACTAAATCGATGATTTTCTTTAAAGATAATGCGTTATTTCATGCCCGAAATTGTTACATACAGACCAAAATATGTGTATATATTTATTTTCATTGCAACTAAAGCTGACCCGGCAAAAATTTGTTTTAGCATATAAATTATTTGTATCGTAGAAAAAAATGTTTGGGGTGGACCACCCTTAACATTTAGGGGGATGAAAAATAGATTTTGTCTGATTCTCCACCCTGGCCGATACGCACACAAAATTTCACAAAAATCAGTCGAGCCGTTTCAGAGAAGTTCAATTACAAACACCGTGACATGATATTTTTATATATTAGATTATGTCTCAAGTTCTGAATATGCAAACTCTACTTTTAAGGTATTAAAATTGAGATCTGGAGAAATTTAGGGCAGTTCCGACCTTAAAAGCATATATTTACCGTGATTCAATAATACGTTAATAATTAGTAATTGTTGTGTTAGTTACCAATTAGAAACTGTAGACACATCTTAATAATATAATGTTAATTTCATGGCACGGTGGTCTAGTTTTTGGGCGTATCGATTCCTGTTTTGAGGGCGTGAGGATGAGGTACAATCACAAGCGACCGTGTACGAGTTTTGTGAATTTCGATCATAAATTTGTTATATAAATATCATTGTGTTCAGTGCACAGCCGCAGGCTCAATAAGTAATATGCACGTGGATAGCACTAATCTACTTTTAACTCTGTTAAAAGCCGTTATAACTAATGTATTGATGACAGAGAATAACAGATTTATTGTAATAAAATTTGTTATTTACCAACTTCACCGTCCATTGGGGCTTGGGCTCCGAAGCTCTGGCCTTGGTACACTGACCCATCGGCGAGCACTAAACTGCATGGTGGCCCCAACTCACTTGTCAGCTCTTTGTTACTCATGTTCTGAAAATTGTTCCAGGAATACATGAATTTTTTTCACATTTTAGGTTTTTTTTAAATTCTTTACGAGTTAATTTTGGAGAATTTTTAATTTCTTTATGAGTTAATTTTACCGTGAAGAGGAATTATACTTTCTCGTTTCGTCTGATGGATAAATGGGACCCTTTTTTAGGGTTCCGTACCGAAAGAGTAAAACGCTGTTTGTCTATACGTCTGTCACCAGGCTGTATCTCATGAACCTTGATTGTTAGATTGTTGAAATTTTCACAGATGATGTATTTCTATTGCTGCTATAACAACAAATACTAAAAAACAAAATAAAATCCTTCCTTACTAATATTATAAACGCGAAAGTTTGTATGTATGGATGGATGTTTGGTACTCTTTCACGCAAATACTACTGAATAGATTTTAATGAAACTTTACAATAATATAGCTTATACATCGGAATAAGACCTAGGTTATAACATATTTTTATGTATATCTGTCTTTCTGTCTGAATGTTACGCCTTCAGCCTATTCTACGCAGTAGTCTATGTAGACGCGGGCAGCAGCTAGTAGGGGGCTCCCTACAACAGATATGAGTTTTTTGCTGTTTTTATAGAAAATATTTCAGAACCCTTCCTACGCGTCCGACTCGCACTTGGGCGGTATTTTTTTGTTATCGTTGGCAACATATCTCAATTCAATATTGTAGATATCCCTATGGGACGCGGTGATGACTTAATATCAAGTGGATCTGCTCCCAAATGAACTATGAAAAACATGTCATGTTTTTTTGCGTAGATTGTGAACTTTTTAGTTTTTTAATTTTTTTATTTTTTAGTTTTTCTGATTATTATTTAATAAAAATACTACTGGTAAGAAGGAAGTCATATAGAAGCGTTAGTATCTATTATAGTATCAATACCGGAATGAAATAAATAAATAAACAAAGACAACAAGCAAAAAGCGGAAGTGAGCTTCACCAGTTTTGTTTATAATAATCTGACCGAGTGTCAAAAATACTTTATGCTATGCTTATAGAAGTTGCTTGTCTCATTTAACGTTTCATTAAATTTCAAGGTCTAAAGGGTCAACGTATGATTACTACTTCCTATTGATTAGTTTTACACCATTGATGGGTATATTGCTTTTATTAATAACACGTCGCAGTTAATGAGCATCGTTAAATTATAATCTAAGGAAAGAATTGGTGAAGTTAAAGTATAATCTCAAAAATTCTTGCAGTAATTTTTGATTTAATTTATAAATAGAAATAAATAAACGCTCACAAGCTTTTACAAAGATTTTACAAAAATATATACTTATAGCGAAAAAAACGTAAAATGTTACGGAGATTTATTTTATAGTAACAACACCTCTTTTCTGTAACAAAATAAAACAGAATTCAATTTTTAGTATGTTTTTCAAAGCTTCTTATCTTTGTAACCAATGTAACAGCCTAAATACATGTTTGTGGAAAATCTGCGAAGTTTTGACACATCGTAATATACTTACAAAGTTTTTAGGTTCTGTTTACCGGCCACGTGGTATCCTACGAGATCCGCGATGTACAGCAGCACCGTCGCGGGCCCCGCAACAACTGGACAAAACGGCAAACAAACGCCATTGCCTCTATGTTATCAGCGCGTCATTCTTTTAAAACATATATCTCTTTCGCACATTCAAAATCTATATTTAGTTGTCCCGCTCAAACAATGTTGGCTGAGGGACAGTGGTCTGAACCAAGTTAATGTATAATGATCGGAAGTTAGCCACGTATTTGATCCATTCGGCAATTGTAAGTTAAGTTACCGAGCCGAGGCCGATCATTTTTCCAGACGTTTTAATGTCGACCTTCCTTCATAAAGCCCCATTGTTCTTTGCATTTGAATTGTGAACCTATTTCACAGTCAGTTATCTCAAATAACATCTTTTTAATTTACGTTTCGAACTATATGAATAATATTAAAACCAATACATCGAGCTTTGATTATATACCCAAAAATAAAAAAAGAACAAAGAAAAATACAAGTTTTTAGTGCCAGACGACATGGGTTCTAATTATTTTGTGTAGACAAGTGGTCATTTACTGATGAAATAAGTAATCTAATTGTTAAAATAATAATGTACTGATCAAAAGATGATGTAACGATATTATGTGTATTTTGTCTCCCATATTTTCCCCAAAGCTTCTAGGAATATACTGACAGCACCAGACTAACCAACGAAATTCTTAAATTAATAGCCGAATAAAAAAATCACCTATGAAAGTTGATGTTGGTGTTATTCTAAGGATTTTTCATATAATTGCGACAAAATTGGATAGCATAAACCGGCCATAACCTTATTTTTCATGAGCACGTTATCCATAAGTGATCAAATGACACTAGCACAAGTGAGAAGAGAGTCGACCAATTTAGACAGACTTTATTTGCGCCGCTTGGTAAGATTAAATGCCTTTTAGACAAGTATATAATCAAAGACGTTGCGTCTGTTTTTCCAATATTGGAAACCCTGGAACAATTATCTGTGGCTCACACAAATACCTGTCGCGTGTGGGGTTCAATCTGAGTCTTCATAGTAGCATATTACAAATCCATAAACTTTTAAGGTGCACTTGATTTTTGCAAGATTTTTTGCAAGAAGGGGAGATTACAAGAAAATTCAGCATTGTGATAATATAAATCAGTAGTATAATATACCATTGATCATGATACGATGTTGAGTTCCTTAAACCTATCAGTGTTCGGTTAATCTTATTCGTGAATTAAATATAAAAGTATTTTTTTTTGTTGCCTAGGCAAATTGTAAGAACATGCTTTTCGCGTGCGGCTCCATCCGCATGTACTACATTTTATATCGTGCTTAAAAAGTACCAACAGAATCCTACGCTCGCAAATCCGACTAGCACTTGGCCGATTTTCGTGGGATTGATTCCCACACGGGACAACTATTTGTATGACCCACAGATATTTATTCCGCATCTGAATGTTTGTCCGCGGTAAATTTATATTTGTAAAAACGTCCTTACAACACAGGATACTGTTATACCAAAGTAAGTTTTTTAAAAAAAATAAAAAAAATTGTTTCAGCCAATTAAACTGTAGCTATTATATATTAAACTGTAGTATTTAATCTCATAAAACTTCAATGTGGTTCTTTAAATTGATATAACTTTTATTTCTGAACCGATTGAAATAAAAATTAAGATTCAATTAAGGGCTAATCAAAATTCGAAGACTGACTTTTTAATCCGAAAAAAATTTGGCTCCTCAATGGATCTTTAAAATCATAGATATTTTATTTCTTATTTTCTAAATTATGTCATGGAAATGCTTTTTTTGTACACGTTCTATTTATTTATTTTTATGCTGTCAGCTGTTAAGCGGCCTGTCAAGGCAGATACCTGAAGAATTGTTGTAGAAACGTTCGGTTAGTTGTACCACAACAAATTTTGAAGGAATTATATCCTCGACTTATTTTAGTGGCTAATGTTAAAGAGTCGGTTCTTTCCTCGACCAGAAATGCAATTGGCGATCTTGGCACCATGCCACGGGGACAGTTTGTTGAGACAACGCGTAATTTACGAAATATTTAATATTGTTAATATTTTTTGAGCATAAGCATAATTAGATATTCACATTTCGAGTATGTTCTCGATGCTAGTGTTACAAAAGTCATTTGATTACTGAAAAAGAGTAAAAACTATTATCAAGGTGCAGGTATTCCCTATTTGTTATACACAAATGGGGAATGTAATAATAAAAAAAGAGGCAATGCAATCAAAGTTATTTATTGAAATAAACTTAGGCTATGGTAGTTTACACATAAATCCCTTTCTGTTGAGAATAGGCGTGTCAATAAACTGCATCGTTAATTCCGTCGGGGCATCTTCCAGTTCCACCACAATTATACTATTTTCCCCTGGTTGAAGCCACACACCTGGCACGTAAAGAGTAACTTGAGGTCCTACGCCAGGCCAGTACCGGCCCAGATTATGTCCGTTAATCCATACGTAGCCCTAGAGATAAAATATTTTATTAAGCTTTTTATATTGCACATTATTGAGTCTGAATAACTGACATGAAAGAAGATTTTGCTAGATTCGATCTAAATCTTTATAGGATGTGATCCGTGGAAATCATATAAAACCAAGTTGAATAGATTGACCATGATGAAAATTAAGTTACAACCTTTTTTTATTTATATTTATTTTAATGAGTATTTCTGGTCTTTTACTGTTTGTCTTGTAAATATTGTTTTTATTATTTTATTCATTTAAATTCGTTCGCGTGCAATGGCATTTAACGGTGCTAAGCTTAAATGATAAGAGTATCTTTAAATGAACTTCAACAAAAAATAATTTACCTTGCCCCAACCAGTAGTATCCAGGTAGGTGTCCAACGTGGCCCCAACAGTAGGGATCGTAAATGCGCCTTTGAAAATAACAGGACCACGTTTGAGAGCTTTTTCGTCATCTAGAGTTTGTTCAATGCTGTTGAAAACTAAAGGATAGCCAGTTACGGACCATTTTCCGTTTAGTACCTTATTGTTATACATTACTGTGCTCAATATGCCCTGTGAATAGAGTAAAAAAATTGAGAGCGGAAAGTAATTATAATTGTTATCATACTTTTTGATTATTCTTTCTTAAGTCATATTTTGTCCTCGTAAGTATTATATCCTCTTTAGTTCTTTGTAATTAAAGACTGTATATGATGGAAGTAAGTTCATTCAAAACTGTTTTATTCTAAAATTCGGGTTATTTTATTAAATAATTAGGTAATTAAGAAAACCCAATGTTAATTTCGGTTCTCATTACTAAATTACTAAAGTATATACGCTATCTTTGTTGTGTTCGACGTTTGGCCGTATAATTTTTTCAACACGGACATTATGTGTAGGTATACAACTGATAATATAAGTAATATTAATAATGTAATAAGTAATAATACTACCAATTCGAAACTTTTTACAAGCTTATATTTAACTTGCAATGTATATATGTTTGTTGTTAATTTTGTAACTCAATTTTAAATAAGTTATTTATAAAGGATTGCAATTTTTCTAACTTGCAATGTATGCATGTTTGTCCGGGTGGAATTTTGCAACTGAATTTTAAATCAGTTATCTTTAACCGATTGAGTTGAAATTTGGTAAACACCGTTATTTTAGATGACAATCCATGCTTAGCTATGTGATATCATTCTAATTCCAATATGGCGGATCATCCAAAATGTTGGACTAGTTTATTTTTCTGCACTACCACTGTATGGGTATCAAATGAAAGGGCTTGCTGAGGAGAACATGAAAACTAATACAACGTCAAATTAAATCCAAAATATGGGGGACAGAAACACAAAATATAGCCACGGCACTGCGGAGCGGAGAATGTCGCCAATTATATTAAGCTGGGCTTGCACAGTAGGTACATAAAACGCAGGGAAATACTGTTGATCATCGCGTTGTCTACTTAGGCTCAAAACTGTTTCCTGCAGGTCAAGCATAAGTGGCTTTATGTAGGGTCAAATCGTTAGAAGGCCTAATTATTGAAGAATTAGACTGTACTAAATTAACAGGCAAACGACCATGTAACAACGACGCATTAACTAGCACAGACTTAGAAACATTCCCAATTATAACTAAAAAATAAATTAAAGGTGAAAACCTTTTTAAAAACAAGCTTTTGTTTGATTGCCCTAAAAAGAAGATAATAATTTTGAAATAATATGATTTAATAAATGTACTATAAATTGATCGGATTGATTTAATTTATAATTTGTTTTCTTCTTTTTGGTGCAATTAAAAAAGCTCGTTTGGAAAAAGTTCTTTTTCCATTAATGTAATAACATACACAAAAGCTTAATAACATTTTATGTCTCTCGATAGATCATTAGATCATACCAATTGCATTCGCGGTTTACATGTGTTACATCATTATTCTGAATATTTTCTTACTTTATAGTCGTGAATGTAGTATCCATAATTAATATGTCCTTGGCTCTCTACCAATAACGAAAGGGTGGATCCAAGATTAGTTTTGAGGTTTAAAGTGGTTTGTTTACAATTCCTATATAAGATTCCTTGCAAATTCTGAAAAAAATATTATACATAAATAGTTAATTTTCTCGTTTAATAATACTTCCTTAGTTAACACAATGTAACAAAAAGATCCAAAAAAAAAGAACAAGACCGCAGAGTTTCTTGCCGGTTCTTCTCTGTGCAGGTCTTAAGTTAAGCCTATATTGAATAAAGATACTTTGACTTTAAATTTATGATAACGATAGTTAAAATGGCTGACCAAGATGGTTCATAATTCAATATAGTATTATAAGTTACATTTTTGTTAAAGAAAGATACTAATTGTTAAATAAGATGGTAACCGACTTATGCTAAATTTGGTGTATAATAACTAAATAAAGGCGTACATGGCAATATATTATAAATTTAATATCGTTATTAGGCTATGATTTAAGTATCGAATATTTATTCAACGTTAGAAATTGTTGATTTCAGCCAAATATAATCAAGATAAAATTATTTAATAATTTTCATTAAATGAATGAGACTGTGTCAGACCTGGATAAAATAACTAAGAATACTTATTTTTTTTTATTTGTTCAATAAATATATAATAGTTAACTAACTCCGTCTACGAATGCATATACGGTGTCTCTAGGTTTTGTTATTTTCAGTTCGCCCTCTGTGTCATTAACATTAGTCTCGTACAGTAGTAAACCAGCTCGTTGTCTTAATGATTCAAATGTCGGAAGTTTGGAGCCTGTTACGTCTTCGTATTTTTTCCCCAAGTGATGACGGCCTTTTGAACTTAATATACTTCCCCTTGCATGCAAAGTGACTTCTCCGTAGCCTGCTTTCTTGGTTGGAACTGGTGCTGATAATTTTTTCACTTCGGGATAGTACTGAAAAACATGTCACAATATTGTTCGTTAGATTTTTATATCGACTCAAAATATTTTTGAAGTTATACTTCTTTGGCGCTTTTGGAAAGAAATTATGAGAATACGTTTTTACGATGCGCACGCTACACCAACACCCAAAAAGCGACATGATGAAGCGACCAACTTCGACCAATTTCACGGCAAAATTATTTATTACCATGGCAAAATATTATCAACTTTTTGACATTAACCTATAAATAATTAAATACTAAATATTAAATTAAAACGTCACATCAATTGCATGTAATGCAGTTTTGTACTGGCACAGCGGATAAAATTATTAGTTATTTTACCTTAGTTATTTTTATTTTGTTACACTTAAGAATTATAACTTCCTATCTGCGTACATAAGTACACACATATTTTTTTTACCAATAAATTGCGGTTTGTCAAAATCTGAAAAACTTCCAATTCAGAGCAAAATATATTCGGATAAGAAAAAAACATACTACCTTAGATAAAACGTCTCTTATAAGGTAATACTTTTCCGTTGGATCACCAGCTTCACTTAACGGTGCGTCGTAGTCATATGATGTTATATCAGGCAAATAGGAAGAATCGTAGTTTGCGCCTGAAACGTTAAAAAAACTTTAAATAAAAGAAGGTCACATATTTAAAATGTTTTTAAAAGCAAATGATTAAAACAATTAATGAAAATTGTGAGTTTGTTCAAAATACTACACACCGGCGCTGAATTCGAAGTTTGAACCACCAAAATACATGTAGAAGTTAACGTTGAAATTGTTGTCGAGCATGCTACGGAGAGTGCTGACCATGTTGCGGCCTGAGGTTTGTTGTAGAGATTCATTCCAATGTGTAAGCCAACCAGTGTAAAACTCGGAGTTCATAAGAGGTCCATTCGCAAAATAGCGACGGAACTTTCTGATTATATTTGGAACATTAGTAGAACTCTGTAAATAACACGATCAATGTTTAGTCTAAAATTCGCTTTCTATTCCAAAACTCGTAATGCAATATATCAAAGAGACAAACTCTAGATAATCCTGTATTAAAGTAAGGGCTATGCGTAATATTAAAATAAGGCAAACTTACACCAAAGTCTATAGTTGCAACAGCGCCATCTATCGATCCGCTTAAAAACATCCGCGGGTCCGTTCCGTCCGTTGTGTATAGCAATGCCTTATCACCAACATGCTTCAGCAATATGTCACGGACGGCCCCCATATAATTCTTGTCGCTACCGTAACTGCCGTATTCATTTTCAACCTGTGATATTGTTACTATTGATACACATTTTAACTGACCATGTCCATTCACCGTTCGATGGTTTAATAGATCCATAGACGTCGATCTATCTAACACTATCACCAAATTTTTACAATTCTATACACCTCATGTCATTTTTTCTGCCGCGACGTCTGGTGCAAGTAAAGTGAAGTTGGCTAGCCTTAATTAGGATGTGGTATTTTTTGACACATACATAAAATATAGAATATATCGAGCATTTGAAAGCAGAGTTATATTACGGGGCACAATTTTTAAGGAATAGAAATAACATAATGCACTATGTTGCAATATTTGAAATAACGATTAAGAATTTTAAGCTAAAAACAGTATGAATAATAATGTCATACTGGCCAATAACTCATTGTTACGCATGTTCTTTACATAAGCTTGATGGGTAATCCAATGTACAAGGATATATAGTCGAGTCGAGTTAATTAATGATTGACTGATGTTTTATCCATGTGTCCATCGGCCAAAGTTACTATGCCAATCGACCATCGTCGGCCAATGGGATCAATCGACGATCGATCAATCGTGTGAGATGACCATGTGTAACCTTAAAGTGTTTGAATCGTCGGAATATAATGTATATAATGTTGTAATTCAAATAATATGACAGTGGTTAAAATTTCTTCATTAAAAATTTACCTGAACTAAAATAATCGGACCACCATTCCCAAGTAATAGCGGGCTTAAATGGGTGAATAATTTTGCCATCCATGATTCGCTTTCAGTAATAAAATCTGAAATAATGTGTTGTTCTTTACTAGTATTAAATAGTATTGATTAGTTTAATAACGTAAAGTAAATGCAACCTTTGTCAGTAGTGCGTAGTTTAATATTCGGGTATTTGCCGAGAAGCCAATAAGGCAAACCGCCCTGAAAAAATAAGCTATTGGAAATTAGAAGATAAAGAACACCACAATAAATTTAATAAATGAACTTTGCACTTTTTTCATCAAATATACATAATAAAATAATCGCTGGCCAGTTAGTGACATTGCCAATGAAAACTTCTTTTAAATTTTGAATATAAAACACTTTGGTAACCTAATCTGTAATTGCATTCGTTTGTCATTTTGTTGTTGTGAATTAGCGGCAATTCTAGTCTTGTTACACAACAGAATGGACCACTGCTTTTAGCAGTGGTTCCAACAAATGCGAAGATGTATACAGATGGTCGAATACTAATTCGAACAATAATAATCGTATTGGCAACTTTCTACATTGAGCCGTTTTATGATTTTATAAATACTTTTAGTGCCAGACGTTATGTGTCATGTTATAACATAATAAGTATAAAAACATTACCAAATCCCTTTCGGCACATATGTATGGTCCAGGTCTCAACAACACGTACAAACCTTCTTCAGCCGCAATTTGAACGAAGCGAGCAACGTCTCGATCTCCCTCAAACATATATTTCCCTTCTTCTGGTTCATGATAACTCCATTCAACATATCTGTGAAGTTTTAGCTTCTTAATTTCAATAAAATATATTGTTGTCTATATGAGAACCTGACAAAAGAGCCGGCGGTTCACCTGATGTTAAACGATAGCAATAAATAAATAAATAACCACCGCCCATTGACATTTGCAACACCCGTAGGGTTGCAGATGCGTTGCCACCTTTTAATATACTGGGCTACCTCACCAACCAGATAAAACGCAGAAGTGTAACAGTTTTACCTCACGCCGGTCTTCTGTGTTCTCCGGTATCGTCTAATAAATAATTATAATTGTCATATCGCGTAATAGTTCCACTACTCGATGAAAGGTAAATTGCATTTTCTTTTTCCGCTCAAGCAAGGCGTGGAAAATTATAGGATTTTCTTCATGAAGTTTTCAATATAAATCAGTGAGAGCATTTAATCGACCCTTTCTCGAGTTTGTACATAATCTTTTCTAGGTACGTGACATCCAAGATAAGAAGATAAATAACTTATTGGTTTAATAGAGCGATAGTAAGGTGTTGACTTTGATTTTGAATCAAAGAATATTTAAGAATGTTTATTATTTTGTAAAAAATAGCCAATGTTAGCAGGACTACATAAACGTTAATGTCACGGAATCAATATGAATAATTTGTTACTCACGTAGATACTGTATTTAATCCCCCTGCTTTTAGCTTACGCAACCGGTCCCTCCAATAAGCTGATGGGAGCCTGAAGTAGTGGAGAGATCCAGATGTAATTCGGAACACTTTGCCATCCAGGACGAAATTGTCGCCGACCACGCTTATATTACGACCAACCTGTGCATGTTGCTAACATAAATTCTTTATGTTGAACTTTAACTTCAAACGTAGTGTTTTCTATCTGATTTCAAAATATTAGAAGTTCTTGCCTGTATAAAACTGCCAAGTACTTTTGCGTGGAAAACACTGTGTAAATAGATTTAAACAAAAAGTACAGAAATAAAAAGATATATATAGACTTGATTACATATATATATAAGATAATTTATCTTTACAATAGCTGTTGCTACTATAGTTTGCTATATATTCACAAACACAAAGCGAGACGTATCTATTGAAGGTGTCTATTGAATTCCTGGGAAGAAACAACATGGCGTGACCACCGCCCAGGTGTGCTCTTATCTTAATTTATATGAATGTACCTATATGAATTTGATATAAAAACGCTTTTCATTCACTAACAATGTCTTTGAACGACGGTTTAATTAAGTGTGGGAAAAAACTGTAGACAAGACCCGATTTCCTTTAAAATAATGAAGATTTTAACGAGTCCACGGTTTGTAAATTGAACCATATCTAAAGAAAATATGGAGGATGTGGAGTTTTGTCTTGTTTGCAAATGCTTTGTCTTACTTTGATAGAAGTATAACGTCTTGACAGAGTGCCCTAAGATTGCCGTCATTTCTCTGTAGGCACGATTTCAGCTAATAATAATTATCGTAATAACAGTATTATTGGATAATTCCATTGATTCTTGAATAACTTCTAGAACACTGTTTGTTACATAACGATGTACAATGTTAATTAGCTTGTAAATTTGCTATTTATACTGCTGGTTCCGTAAAGGAGGACATTTTGATAGAGAATATAATTATGGTTATAGAAATATGTGATATTTGTTTTATCATAGTAGGCCCGATGCGCTAGGTGGCCTAGTAATGCTTAATACTCCATTAAAAAAGGCTTACCGAAAAGGACCTTTATAGGAGGTTTTAAGAGATGCGTAAAAATGTCGTTAAAGATAGTCAAATCGTCATAGAATGTCACATACGTCGAACACTATTGAAATATATAATTTTTATTAATCGCGGCCATGTGGCAGCGAGGTATGGGCGATTGATTACATGTATAAATGATGCATTTGGAATTTAATATCGACATGTGGTATCATCATCGATAAAAAATTAGTGCAGATCCATCCAACTTAACATATTCCGTGTTAGGGTTCCATACCCAAAGGGTAAAACGGGACCCTATTACTAAGAATCCGCTGTCTGTCTGTCCGTCTGTCACCAGGCTGTATCTCATGAACCGTGATAGTTAAAATTTTGAATTTTCACAGATGATTTATTTTTGTTGCTACTATAACAACAAATACCAAAACATGGAATAAAAAAATATTTAAGTCGGGCTCCCATACAAGAATCATGATTTTTTGTCTTTTTTATAGAAAATGGTACGGTACCCTGCGCGCCAGTCCGATTCGCACTTGGCCGGTGTTTTGACTTTTAACTCAAATCGCATCACCTTTACAGTTCCCGATAACATCACACACACACATATCGGCAAATTACAATTTCTATTTATTTTGGTTCAGTAACAACGTTAACCAAATATAATTCATAAAGATAAATAAATCAGAACTTTTTGGCTGGTGGATTGTGGCTCTACAATAGTAATTTTCTCTGATCGATTCTCTAAGTTAACACATTTTACTGGGAAATAGCTTGGTATTTTTAACTCATGATTCTTAAACATGATTTTGTTTACTTCAGTAAACGAAATCATTTTAACCTATTACTTGTATGCATGTGTGTATTATAGAACATAAAGTAAAATTGCACCTGTGATGTAGTTGGTTCAGCGTTAACGGCGTTAATGATCACTGGCCCATTTGCTTCTGTCTGAACAGTCCAAATTAGTTCGATGAAACAACACCATAGTATTGCCCGCACTGTTCTGACTTTGAAAGTAAACATAATGAGACACACAAAGCCCCTGAAATTAAAAAAGAATTTAATAGGTAGGTACTTGATATTAGCCGAAGTTCCTTTTGCCCTACCCTGTTTTGGAATCGTGATATTGCTTACAGAGTGCTTATTTTAAAACTCAAAACTGCGGCAGGCAATGAATTAATCGTTTAGACTATACACACCTTCTTGTAAAACAATATATTTTTATTATTATTAATATTGTTCACATCTACATGCATTGTTAAACAAGGATTTGATGCATTGCCTATTCACAAAAAAAATTGAGGCTTATTATTAATTTTAATTTTGTAGTGCTTTGCTCTGAAACTCAGGCGACAAAATCCATAAAGTAAATTAATTAAAGTAACGTAATAGTTCACCACGTGAGGCCACTGTGGATTTCACATATCTTAGATATATATTTTTTGTTATTATTTCAATAATATGCAGGATTCCTCTAGATGTCCTTTAACGATAACTGAGCAAGTGATAAAAAATCCATAAGCTTGTTATGAAATTAGATAGCTTTTTTTTTTGTTTGGATTTTATGGCCCGGTATCAAGGACCTTTAGGCCAACGATAGCTTTATTTATAAACTTTTGAACTTTTAAAGAGCCGTGATAGCTCAGTGTCCGGGCGCTCGCATTTAATCTATGGGTCATAAACAGAACAACAAAAAAAAACTGTCCTTTTTATAAAATTACGTGAAAAAATACTTAAAACATTATTATTTTTGGTAAAAAACACAATTAAACTAAAATTTTATCAAATTATTTAAAAATAGTTTTATTATTGCTAATTATATTTGAACAAAAATAATAATTTTGTCAATTTAATCTCCTTCCGTGGACTGTTTCCAGTCTATGCTCATAAGTTAGATATTATATTAAAAAAATACTCTAAACGAAAAGTATCAATTTTTCATCATTAGTTTGGGTAATTATAGTTATTAAAAAATTATAGTGTGAAAAATAATCATCCTCAATTATAAGAATTAACATACATAAACATGTTGTTATCAGTGCTTGCGACCCCTTCCGTGGTACAACTGAAATATACATTCGATACAATATTTAACAAAGGGCAACATGACTTATTTATTTCTGTTGGCAGCACTGTTTAGCTGTTAGTTGAAACTTATCGTTGAAAGTCGTGAATTTGCTCTGTGCGAAAATAAAATAAACTTTTGGTTAATTAAGTGATTTTTTGTTATTTATGGCAAAGATCGTTTCAACTTTTCTGTTACGTTAATATTTCGGTAAGTATTATCATGAAAAATACTTGCTGTAATTTTCCTATTGAGATATCGGCCGCCATTGGTAAAAGCTCTATAAGTTGTTTACTAACCACAAAATTTTGTGTTTTGTATAGCATTTTATAACTTGTTTTCCCTTCCATGGACAAACTTCTCAGTGGACACTGTGTCCACCGAAGGGTAAAGGTCCACGGAAGTGAGTTTTACTAAGTTCCTTAACTTGTATTAATACAAATTTTTGTGTTTAGATTAATTAATATATTAAAGCACTTGTTGCTTCGAGCCGTCTGAATTTTATATATTTTATTTTGTGCTCTGCTTTTTTTATTATATTTAATGGTTGGAGTAGTATGAGATTTTTCTATATTTCAGGTAAAAATTCTGCGAACCTACAGATCAAAACTCAAGCTAAGTAATGAAGAAAAAAGAACAGACGACGTGAACAAAAAAAATTTGTATGCGTCGAGCACATATAAAACTGGACGCAACTGCTAAGGCAGAAATACGTAAGATGGATAGAGAAAAATACTATAGCAAGAGGTAATATTAAAACGATTGGCCGATATATTCCTAGAAAACAGCGCTAAATAAGAAAAATGTGGCGAGTAAAACCTCGATAACGCCGTGCCTTTATAAAATCAGAGAAATAAGTCCCAACTTACCCGAATTTACTGAGTGATGGCCCAAGCATCTAATACAGAAATTAGTCAATGTTTTACTTGATTTTAAATTATAAGGCAAAGAATTGAACAGTTATAACAATTTTATATGGCACTACAGCGAAAATGATCATGGCAAAGGAGCTCCTTATGACGTAGATAGCTGTGTAATATGTATAATTTGTTTCGTTTTTTTATATTAAGCACTTAAGTACAGTGTAATTATTATTTTGTATCAGTTAACAGAGTTTTGAAAGCACAGTTATTGATTGAAAGATTGTTGATTCTTACGTCTCTTCCGTGGACACAAAACAAATGGAAATGTGGCCTATTTTGTAGAGAATAAGGTTTTGATCTCTGAATTTAATCATAAAATGACCCTTTTGTTACATTTTATAATAAAAGTTGATTTTTTACATTTTATGTACTTTCACTTTTTTTATTCCCATGTTTTGATTTACACTTTTTTTATGACCCCTATAGAGAATTTTTTTTTATATATAAGAGATTTCCACCGATAATTGACGATATCTCTGGAACCATAAGGCGTAGAAACTTGAAATTTGGTAGGAATATTCCTTTCGCCGAGTAGAGGTCACCTAAGAACGAATTTTACGAAATTCCACAAAACAACGTTTGCCGGATCAGCTAGTTTAATATACTGGAGAAACCTTTTTTTTCTTTTTTTTTTTTTATGAAAAGTTGCCAAGCGAGAAGATGGTTAAGGGAATACCGCCGCCCATGGACATCTTCTTCACCCGAGGGAACTTGGAATTTGGAATGCGTTGAAAACCTTTTGAAACTCGGGCTCCGACCACCTCACTCACCAGACGAAACGCCGAAAGTATTATACTTCCACTTTACGCCAGTCTTGTGAGGTGGTGGTACTTATCCGGACGACCCTGCCCATTCGTGCATCAGCCGAGGCTGCTGCGTGCCCTACCGTAACCTAAGTCCGATCCCCGGTGCCGGCACCAATGAAATTGTTAATTTTAAGTGTTGACTTATATATAGGCTGTTACTTTACTCTTTGAACTTTATTGGCTCGCAGTAAAAAGTTCAGTAGTTTTAATTAAGACGAATATTTGTCTATATCTATAAGGACTGTGCAAATAAAAAACTTGCCAAACTTTCTATACATTTGAATCCTTGTAATACTTAAATACCACCAGGCTATTAAAATACACTAAAGGTGTTAAATTTCCTAAATTTAATGAAGAATGAAAGCAAAATAACGTCGTTTCATACACGGGTATGCTTCATTATACTTCCATGTGTTCACACTCGGGTCATATTACTTAACCCGTATTCTCCGCATACATTCAGCGCTCCGAGAGCAGTAGTATTTATGGGAAAACGTATAGTTTAAAAACATTTCGAAACGTTTAAAAATATTGCACTATTATTTATAGTTGTCAAATTTACATTTATTTATATTAGATATCTTATTTAAATATAATATGTGCTATTGAATCACAAAATGTTTTTAAATAGGTATCACTTTCAATAATGTCGCAAAAGAAACCACTAATAAAATTCGAAAATCCATTGAGAATAAACATTTAATCGTTTGTGTTAGCAAGATCAAAATTGTAAATTGTTTGGTAAATTATAACCTTGAAATGGCTTAATTAGAATTTATGGCTATTCAAAAAAAAGTACCAAAAAAAATCCATATATTTTTTTACTTTTAAATTATTAGTCACTCATGTATTCATACATTTTTTACCCAAGGAGTTTAAACTTTGTAATTTATTTAAAAAAAATTATGTTAATTTTTCAAAATAAATGGACTTGCATATTTTTTTAACAAAAGTACAATAATTAGTTTTACTATTTACTATCTATCAGAATAATTAGTGTTTAACATTAAAACAACTAAAAAGCGATGAATTTCATTCAATTTTTGTCGTAGCGTGCAATAAAGTAAAATAAGGCAAAAAATAATTGTTTTTTTAATACTTAGGTATATAATACTTATTACAGATTTTTTGGTATTTTTTTCTGAATGGCCATAAGTTCTATTATAAGACATTTCAAGGTTATCCATAAATTACCGGACACCCTGTATATCACAAAGCATTTCACAAACATTAAAGTAATTGAACATTAATTTGCTTTATATATCGCCGCAAGCATTGTTTTTATTATTTCTGTCTTTTATTAACCAATATTTCCTTTTTATATCTTATAGGAATGTAATAAATAATCCATATCAGCAATATTGTTAAGGCACATCTGCTCATGTCTCATAGAGTAACATTTATTTTACACATAATATTTGGTCCTGTTAAGTACCTATAATTTTGAAGATTTCCCTGATGCCCGTACACCGTAAACCGTAATGGTCTAAAAAACCACTTTCCCATATAAAATAAAAAATAAATAATGAAAAGTAACGCATTATTTGTTCACCTTTTGATTAAAGGTATCCCTGAGATTTGTACTTAATAAATTAATACCAATCTTATGTATTAACACTAATAAGTTAATATATAACATTGTAAGGCAGTTACCAAACCGATTTGTTGTAGAAATCGGATCCACAAATAGAAATAAGAGTGGATAAATCGCCTTTTTTTGAAAAAGTCCAAGAGTTCATTTTGTTTAAAATCCCTCTCTTATGTCACTATTTCCTGATATTTAACGCTCTAAATAATACCTACATCACGATTTGTTAAAGAGTTAATCGATTTAAAACTTTAACGGCATTTACGGCACGAAAAACTAATTTTCGTTTGTCGTATTCAGTTAAATACGAAGATTTATTTTGCTTACCGAAAATCTTTATCACACAATAGATTTTACTAATCGTCTAGGATAGTTGCTATTTAATTTTTGGTGAATACATGAATATGAACGGGTAAAGCTCGAAGTCTAATTGGATACAGCGTTAAGAGTGGATTTTTAATGGTTTAAAATGACAGCAACTAATCGATACAGATAAATAAAAGTGGATTGTGGAGTGTCTGTTTGAAATATTCAAATAATCGATTTTTACTTAATGCATATGGAGGTACATACAAAATAACATTTTTTACAATTTTTGTCTGTCTGTCTGTATGTTTGTTCCGGCTTATCTCTGAAACGGCTGGACCTATTTTGACGGGACTTTCACAGGCAGATAGCTGATGTAATGCGAAATAACTTAGGCTACTTTTATTTTAGGAATTTCTTTTAATTTTAAATTCCACGCGGACGAAGTCGCGGGCGCAGCTAGTCAGTAATAAAACCCATCTCTGTGTGAGGATATATTTAGATCTAACATGATTATTTTACCATCAGTTAAAAATAGTACCTTAACTATAAACTCGTTTCTTACCGCGGCTTGCAATTTCATCTTATTATTTATTTTATAACAATTAAATATTATCTGACAAATTTAAAATAAAATTCGCTTAAGATTCGGAAAAGTAAAGAAACGCAGGAAGCAGTAATGCTAGAAAAAGTTAATTTCTTAATCCAAAGTATTTGGGGTGTAATGTACGTAACGCTCAGACCATAGTTACATCTTATTATGTATCAAATTGCAAATCTGATAATAAATTGTTTTTTTTTTGTTAATCATATTTCTTAACATATAAACGGGATAATGATTTATTGTTTTGATTATTATAAATATTGAAATGTTAAAAGAAATCTTCCTACTTTTGAAGGATTTCAACTATTCTAAATAGCTCAGATCGCAATAAAGTTTTCACTTTGATTCCGTATGAAATCCGTCGGTTGATGGATGAAAGAAAAAATAAATCTCATTGTCGTTTTTAATAAGAAAGAACGTATAATATCGCGGTAAGCTATATCTAACGATATTTATCTAACGTTAAAGTAAAAATGACATTAAAAAAGATGGGTCGGTAGCTTACCGGTCGCGACAATGACTTGTGTCGCCTAGACGCTGGTGCCAGTGAACTCTCTTGGCCCCGACTTTACAATCGCGGGTGAGTAGGTAGGTTACTACAGCGGGACTAGTGGGTTTTCTATGCGAGCGTGTTTTAGTTAGGCACTCGTGGACACGACCGCTCGCATCGATACTCCCTGTTACACTCGAGTCGGACCTTATACGAACGTCGTTCTATTGTTTTCGAACTGCATATTTTACTGTTTCAGTCCGTATTAGCTAGTCTGTTATCATTGTTAAAATACTTTTTATTAATAGGGCGACATCATTCTAAAATGAAATCTGTTCTATTTAGAGAATTGTAGTGTTTCGTCTAAGTAGCGCAGTCTTTCAAAGGTTGGTAACGAATTTGCATCACACAGTTCTTTGGTAGCTGTAACCAGTTGGTTTAAGGTGGGCTGGGTGCCTGTTAGCTTGCCACTTCCTCACGTAAAAATTTACTTTTAAGTTTTTCTAACTTTGAAATATTAAGATTAATTGTCACGGCAATCTATTTTACTTACTTTCTACCTTTTAAATGCTTATTAGAAAAAAGATTACGCATCATAGTTTTGGTTAAGAGGTTTCATATTTGCTTGAATCAAAGCGGGGGTAATATTTTAAGTTTAACACAGATGTTAGTGTGTTAACACGGGCGAGCCGGCTATAGATATATGTTTTATTCTATCATTTTTTATTCCTTGTCAACCAGAGAATGCACCACTGCCAGAAAACCAAATTAAGGCAAGGTAACTCAAGAACTTCCACCCAAGCCATACATACCTATAGTGTTGTAAATGTTGACATTGGCAAATGTTCCTTTCTGCTCTTGTCGCTGATTTGTTCTCCTTAAAACAGTTCAGAACAAATATTTCAAATCTCGTTTTGCAAATTCAACTGATTTATCCAGGCCAAATTCATTGATTTATCTTAACAATATCAATTTCGATGACAATATATTACTTAAAGAAATGAAACTTGTAAATATTAATAAACCTGACGGTAGGTAGACATCCTATACTGATTTCTAAATATGCACAAAAATTATTGAAACGTTTTGCCTTATTTATAATATGTCTATATCGTCAGAGTTTGTTTCTCTCGGATACCGTCGCACTGACCGATTTACTAACTTTGAAATAATTAACATAAAAATTATTTTTGATTTGTTTTCAATTTAAAAAAAAATATTTATGGTTAATAAAATATATTAAAGCTGTAAGCTTACAAGCAAAGATTTAAGATTTTTAGCTGTTATGGTCATGTAGCGATTATACTGCTGTTGCACAAGTTGCACGAATTTGTGCAACAGCAGTACAATCGCTACGCGTGAAGTGGAGTATTATTTGTTTCGAAGTCGAGAATTTATTAGGCACAATCTTGAAAAGACTAAACTTCATTCAAGTATTGCCTTTTTTTTTGGGGGAAATGCCTACGCATACCCGCTCTCGCGGGGGCAAGAGCGGGCTATGTCGGACTCGCACCGACTAAAACCCCCACGATGTTCCACCTAAATGCATATCGGCAGGGTCACCGGAACGCTTTCGCACACTTCCGCGACCCTGCCAGCGCTGGCCGCCTAAGCCGCCCCCTCCCGGGAAGCAACTCATCTCACTCAAATCTCCTCCAGGTAAGGCGCGCTGGAACATTCAGCTCGGCTTCCTACTCGGCCCCATTTTCACGACCAACGAACTCCCCCGAGTTCGCTGACTGGGGCAACTAATAAGCAGCAAGCCTCCCAGCCCCTAGCGGCGGACCTGGTGTGTGGCTCAGCCGCTCACCAGGTTTCAGCCGTGGAGGGTAGGGAGAACGCCGCATCGTAATACCGATACTCCTCTCCTCCCGCGGCCCCACCACCACTGCATCAGCGGTGCAGCCCAGCCGAATCGCGGAGGATAAGGAGCGCGGCCAACGCAATACCGACACTCCTCTTCCCTCGCGACTCCTCCTCGGTAGCAGAAGACAGGGAGAGTGGCTCCACCTCTACCAACCTCGACCTGTCCCCTGCACCCTCCAGCACGCATCCAGAGTGGGCTCAATGAGCCCACTCGGAGCGGCCCTCTCGAGCCGGCCTTACACCACAGGCCGGCCCGTGTGGGTTCCTCTTAGCATCGCCGTGAGTGAACAAGCCGTGGGTGACCAAGCCACGGCTACTAAGCCTCTCCGCCACGTCAAGGCGGGAACCCGATCGGAGGGGGATTCAAGTTATGCCTGCTAACTCGATTGAAATTCTTGGAGTTTACATGTTTAGCAGCGTTTGACTCCGCGTTCACCTGAGAGAGAAAGCCATGGTGGCTTCCAAAGCCAAAGTAGGATGCCCAGGGTAGAGCGAGCCAGTATTTCCTGCCTCCCCATCGCCTGCAGCTCTACAAAGCGCAGATTCGGCCGCACATTGAGAACTGTTCTCATCTGTGGGCGTCCCAATACCGGCTCCTTCTATTTGACCGCATCCAAAGAAGAGCTGGTCGAATCGTCCGTGACCAAGTCCTTTAGATGGTCCGTTTGCTCGAGGACCTCGTTTTCCATAATATACATAAAATATCTGAATCAGTAGTGTTGTAGATCTTGATAGAGCAATTATCGAAAAAGCTAAACCACCTGCTTTCTTGTCATTTGCCATCTTTTTCCTTAAAAAAGTAATATTTTGAGTAAGAAATTTTACACTTGAAATACCTATAAATCAATTTTGAAAATTCTTTATCAATTTTGTTTTTTTTTTTTGTTATTTTAATTAACCGAAAAAGATTCGGGGCCATTGTTTGTACGTATATTATTCCTTTTTTCTAATGATTTTGTTATAAAATAGAAGATGTTCTATTTCAAATCTTATAAGATCAGTAGTTAATAAAAGAAGACTAGTTGGAGGTAAGCAATAGGCATTATATCATGATGTGTAATTAGATAAATAAATACAATAATACTAACACGAACCTATAAGAATCCCGAGATTTATCAACGAGGATGTATAAGCTTTAGATTGAAACGTAATAATTTTATACTAAAAAATAACATGTCAATTGTGTACCACTAGTCCCAACTTATATATAAGTTACAGTTAGTTTACAACACCTACATAGAATTTTCCACACAATATTGACGTCTAAATTTTTTCTCATTTAATATATTTCGACACATTACATAGTTTTAGCCGAATAATGCTGCACAAACGAGAGAAGTGCTTGTATGACATCATTATGAATTTAGAAACAAATTAAAGTAAGCAAATTAAAATACTAGATTTTATCTGTCTAAAATCGTTACATAGGCAACTCGGCGAAGTCAAAGGTCCTACTGAGTACCGTTAGCACCTTTCGAACTATAAAATGAATGAAACGTGTCTTGGAATGCAGTAAAAGAGCACAAATATATTTGCATACTCCTCCTAATTTAAACTTACTCCTTAATTGATCCGTCGTTTGGTTATTTGGCGGAGTGTTAAATAATAAGAAGTAATTTAAAACATTCTATAAAGATTTTATTCCCATGATAACATTGAGTTAATAATTAGTCAATACTTAAAAACATTTACGCCCGGTTTCTGAAGCACTGATCATCTTTAACTAATCAGCTGTCAAATGGTTTTTCAAATGTCACCATCCTTGTCTTGTATCTTGTATTAACTGATGTTTTTGCTTTCAGTCCCGAGACTATTAAAGCTTCATCTGACGCAGAACCGGTGGGCTAGCCAGAACCCACGGGTTTGGGCCCTCCGATGTGGGTAGGGCCGCGCATGTGCTCATGCGTGCGTTTAACTACGACATGTCATCTAAGGGCCATCGAAGTTGCGGTGCGGGCCGAGACCCCGATGGCCGTCGACTGCGTTTTTAGCTAATCAGTGGCTGGGGGCGGTGAGAACCGCCCTGGAACGCGGGTGTACCTTGTGTACGCGTTGTGTTGGTCTCGCCGTGCTCGGAGGCGAGGGCGAACTATTGTGTTTGTTGTTACACTAGCTGTGGGTGTAGTGTTATCCGGCGGGACCCCCGGCGGTGGGTCTGGCGTATCTAAGTCCCCTTCCTCGACCGGGTCGATGAGGACGTTTCGCGGGCGACGCTTGTTAACGTTCGCATTTGTGTCGGGTTGGTAATTTGCTGCGCTTACCACCAGAGGGTTGGGATGATGTTCGGCTCTATCGAAGAACCGTTTTGTCAAATCTGTAACGTGTGATTTCATCACTTTGTCTAAATTGTCGTTTTTCTAAAGACTAGGCTGCATGTCATATGAACCTTTGCTTGTTCGAAAGGACGAATGTAAAAGTTAACTTCATTTGGTCGTACTTGTCATTTGAGATTGCCGCCGGTTCGAATCGACATTGGATAAATTAGTTTTTGTAGATCCATTATCTTCGACTGTGCATAGCTAGGGGTTGAAATCAGAACACGTTCCTGGTCATATTATTTGTGATTGCTGTCTGGGAAACTCTGCTGGATTTGTTATCCCTCTTGGTGGATGCTGAAGGCATAGGTGGCTGGCAAGCTGGTCCGAGCTGCTGCTCGATTAAATATTGTTTTTTGCCTCCGGTTGATAAGTGTTTCACATCTTATAATTGTAGGTGGATTCATATCCCTGCCTTTGTTAGTTCTACAATGTAGTGTTTGTTGGCAGGAGGTCTCCTACATACCCCCCAACAGTGTGGCTGTACACACTACACTTAGCCTGACTTTATCTACTGGTTCTGAGCTCAACACTGACCTGTGCACACAGGGCAGATGTCTCTGCGGTGACATGGATTTTAAATAACTACCTGATTGGACTTAGTTTTTAAATTGAATTGCATAAGTTTTACCATCTCAAATTAATTTAATTATTCAACCTTTTATGGTCGCACAAAGTAATGTGTAGGTCCTATGTACTCACAACTCCCTGAGATACTTAATTGTATTTATTACAACAGTCTGTTCCTAACGGACAAGGCGCTCAACTCATTATTATTGTTATTTTTTGAAAATATATTGTATCTGAGCTAGTCCAGGGATTGTAACATTAAACTGAAGGGATAAATACAACTTCTTAACCGCTAATAAATCTTTTATTAAATCTTCCCATCATTATCTAGACACCCACTATAAAAATGTTACAAATCTTTAAAATATTCGCGAATCGTCGGGAGTCTGCAATCGCTGTGCAGATCGACGTTGCGTTGGTACCACTGCGCACCGGTTGCACAGCGGATGAACTTATTTTGTACTATTTGCAGCTTGTACAAGCGAGTAGGGTGCGTGTGGGCGAAGATCATGCATGCGTAGGACATAATAGGTCGTACACAGGTCTTATATAATAATAATTTGTGCCTTAAGGGCATTTTACTTTTAGCGTTAGTTAAATTGTGTAGCCGGCCGGAGACGAACGCGGCTCTATTACGAACGTTATTAATGTGCGTAGTAAATGACATACGCGAGTCGAATGTGACTCCTAAGTATTTGACCTTTTTCTCCCAGGGGAGCGGTTGGCCATAAAGGGATATTTGCCCCAACTTTCTGCATTGGCGAGGGCCATTATAAAGATGTGACGGGTAAGTACTTCTTGTGAAGTGAATCGCCACACTCTTTTCGGGATTTATTTCTATTCTCC